TAGGTAGTACTTTACTACCTACTGAATTATAAGTATGTATGTAAATATTGTACGTAACCACTCATTTACTCTTATAGTAGGTATTAAGGTTCAAGTAGTATGCTATTTGTGTCGAATCGAAAAATTATTACCACTATACTCTGTAATCGCAAGTATCATATATATATATATATATATATATATATATATATATATATATATATATATATATATATATATAATCCAGGTGAGCTGTCATCGACGCAACACGTGCTGTTCTTGTCTGTGTACTTTAAATTCCAATCCAATATCAAAAGTTGTCAAGGTGCATTAAAAATACTGTTAAAGAAGAATATAGTGTTTTGTTTATCTATTGAAGTGAATATTTCAAAGAAAACAGAAAATAACAGAAGGAATCTAATGTAACAAAACTGCAAAATTTGAGGTTAGAAATAATTATTTTGAAGTGTCACATAATACCAACCTAATAATATACCTGACATTCGTCAGTGTTACTAGAGGTGATATACTTAGTGTTGCCATAACAAATATAAATTTTTATCCATTTACAAACAGATAACAATAATATTATGGATAATTTCGAAGATCTTTTTACTCGAATGAAAATCGAAATGGCAAATCAAACAAAAGAAATTATTTCGCAATTAGATGAAAAATTAATACCTTTTACGCACGATATAGAAAAATTGAAGCTAGAAAATAAAATCTTGAAGAAAAAAATTTCTAACTTAGAAAAATATAAAAGAAAAAATAATCTTATTATTTATGGAATTAAAGAGAACGAAAAAACTGTAACTGATCTCATGAATTTAATTAAACAAAAATTAGGGAATGATTTAAATATCGGCCTAGAACATAGAGATATAGATGCTATCTATCGACTTGGCAAGAAAGATATAAATAATCCGAAAACAAGACCGATATTGATTTCATTTGTCAATGGTTGGATTAAAAATGAAATAATGATGAATAAAAAGAAACTTAAAGATGCATATGTTTCTGATGACTACCCCAAGGAGGTTCTTGATACAAGGAAAGAATTACAAAAGAAACTTTCCGATGAAAGGAACAAAGGAAACTATGCAGTTATAAAATATGATAAACTGATTATTAAAGAAAAGTCATTCTCTGTAGAAAAAAGGAAAAGGGAAATATCAACTTCTCCAAAGCCCCAACAACGAAAGCAGTACGTCGCGTCCAAAACAAACAAAATAAATGCATATGACGTAATGAGAGGAAGAAGTAACTCTTTTACATCTTACAACTCTGCATTTAAAGAAAATAGCTAGGATAAAGTCATCAGTCACCGCAACAGTATACCGTATATTAATAAAACTAATACAAGCAAAACATTTCCCAAGCCGACTGGTCCTCGTGGGAAATTAGACCATCACCCTTTATCTACAAATATAAACATAAGAAATAGATTAAAAAATGATAAAAGAAGATATCTAAACATATGCACATATAATGTGAGATCATTGTCATCAATAGAAAGATACTTACAACTAACATATGCTCTCAGAAATATAAACTTTGATATAATAGGGCTATCTGAAGTTAGAAAAATGGGTTGTAATATTGAAGAATACCAAGATTATATTTTATGTTATATTGGACAATCAAAAGGTTTATATGGAGTTGGATTTTTAATAAAGAAATCATTGAAAAACAACATAGTTAGTTTTACTGGTGTCTCTGAAAGAATAGCGCTACTTCAATTAAAATTCGAAGATTGGAATATATCAATAATTCAGGTATATGCACCAACAGAGAGTAGTACAGAAATAGAAATTGAAAAATTTTATAAAGAACTTGAGAAAGCACATACTTTAACTAATAACAAACTGATTGTAATCGGAGACTTTAATGCTAAAATAGGATATCCTAAGAAAGAAGAAAACATCATTATGGGCAAATATGGATACGGAAAAAGAAATAAACAAGGCGAACGACTAATAGAATACGCTCTCGAATATAAACTATCGATAACAAATACATTTTTTAAGAAAAAACCGTCCAAAAAATGGACTTGGCAGTCACCAGATGAAAAAGTAAAAAATGAAATAGATTTTATATTGACGAATATGCCAAAACTAGTAACTGATTGCGAAGTTATAAATAATATAGAATTTCCATCTGATCACAGACTTGTAAGAACAACTTTACAATTAATATTACCGAAAAAAAGCAGAATTAAATTTAATAATATACCAAGGATTCCCGAAACAGAAATGGAGATAACAAATTTCAGGAACTGTCTGAATTCTCGTATTGAAGCAAAAATAGAAGGAATCACAAATGTCCAAAATTACTATGATGTAATAGAAGAAGCAATATTATATAGTTCAACGATCAATACAAATAGTAGAGTTAAAGAGAACAGAAATAAAATATTCAGTGAAAATTCCAAGTCCCTAATAAAACGAAGAACAGAATTGGCATTTACAAAAAATAAAACAAAAGACATGAAAGTAGAATTAAGCCAACTGTATAAAGAAACAAAAAAGTCAATTAGGAAAGACTATAGTGATTATAGACAAAAAATAATTAAGAAAAATTTAAAAAAATATAAAAGCACTAAACGAGCTTTTAAAGAACTAAACCTGCATAATACATGGATACAAAGGCTAGGTAACAAATCCAATACAATAGTATCCAGAGACGATATATTAGTCCAAGCAACAAATTTTTATAAGGAACTTTATACAAAAAAGGACGAAGAATTTAAAGTAGAACAAGAAATAAAGTGCACTAGTAAAATAAAAACTATCGATGTAATACACGAAAATGAAATATATGAAAGAATAAAACAACTAAAATCTGATAAAAGCCCTGGTCCAGACAGAATAAGCAATGAAATTGTGAAAATTAACACACCTGTTCTACTTAAATACCTTACACAGCTTTTCAACATGATATTAGATACTGAAATAGTACCAAAACAATGGTGTATGTCAGATATCGTATTATTGTATAAAAAGGGCAATCCATTAGATATAGCAAATTATAGGCCAATTAGCTTACTTGTGAGTATATATAAACTCTTCTCATCTATAATATTAAGACGAATAACAAAAGAAATTGATAAAGCACAACCGATAGAACAAGCCGGTTTTCGTTCAGGATTTAGCACAATAGACCATATACAAACATTAGAACAAGTAATAGAAAAATACAATGAATTTAATAGACCTTTATACCTAGCATTTATAGATTATAATAAAGCCTTTGATAGCATTAGCCATAATTCTTTATGGACTGCCCTGAAACAATTTAATGTAGATCAAAAATACATAAATATTTTAATATACATATACTCAAATAATTATAGTCAAGTTAAACTAGAAACTAAAGGAAGTAAAATAAAAATAGAAAGAGGAGTTAGACAGGGGGATCCTTTATCACCTAAATTATTTATTGCTGTATTAGAAAATATTTTCCAAAACCTAAACTGGAAAAATAAGGGTATAAAAATAAATAGGTGCTATTTAAGCCATCTTAGATTCGCAGATGATATTGTTGTACTGGCTGAGACAGCTAAAGAATTGGAGAATTTGATATATACTCTAGATCAGGAAAGTTTCAAAGTAGGCTTAGAAATGAATACTACAAAAACTAAAATAATGACCAACAGCTTAAAAATACCAATTAAAAGAAGGGAAAACAACATAGAATACGTAAATAAGTACATATATTTGGGTAAACAAGTATCATTTAACAAAATAAACAACGAAGAAGAAATAGGAAGAAGATGTAACATAACATGGAAAAAATTTTGGTCCCTTAAAGAAATTTTAAAAGGAGATTATTCTATAAATATGAAAAAAATTGTATTTGACACTTGTCTTTTACCTTGCTTATTATATGCTAGCCAAACATGGATTTTTACAAAGAAAGTTAAACAAAAAATTACAACAACACAAAGAGCTATGGAAAGAAGTATATTAGGATTAAGAAAAATACATAAAATTAAAAATGAAAAAATCAGACAAAGAACTAAATTAACAGATGCAGTCACACATGCTCTACGTATAAAATGGCAATGGGCGGGTCACATCTCACGATTTACTGATAATAGATGGACGTTTCAAAGTACGAAATGGACAGGACCACGAGGTAAGAGGAACGTTGGTAGACCAATAAGACGGTGGACTGATGATATATTAGAATATACAGGAAAAGACTGGTTTATGATAGGCAGAAACAGAGAGTTGTGGAGAAAGATGGAGGAGGCCTTCACCCAAAGAGGGGTCCATATCCAAGAATCGAAGAAAAAATTACACTAACAATTAGTTATTAAGAAAAAATATAAAATAAATTAGATACTAACAATACAGTATATATATTAGGAATATGGAAATAAATAAAAGGCTTTATTATTATTATTATTATTATTATATATATATATATATAAGCAAACAAATATGTATAATATTTGCGAAATAAAAAGAATCTGATCTAAAAAGTTGCTATATATTTGAAGAATTTTTAATTCAATGAAAAATTATAAAATAAATAAATAAAATAGTTAAATAGTACAATGCTTCGATTCATAGATTTATCATATCGTACTTACGTATTTACTTTATAATCTAAACTTCGATTACTCTATTTTATTTAATGCTACTTAGGATGGCAAACAAACTGCGACCCACCTAATGGAAAGTGGTATTATAATCTCTGCTTGTATTGATGAAGTAATATTGTAATAATTATAGATGTAGTATAATATTAAAAATGTATTAAAAGAATTTAGATAAGCATTACGTTTCTGTACTAATACACTATTTTAATATTTTATGCCAATGCAATAAAGATATAAAATACCTAATTATATATTAATAGAGATATATAAATTTAATCATATATTATGATTTAACTTTGTTGCTGAATTAAATTTCATACATAAGGAAATACTATACTAATATAATATTATATACGAGTATACCAAAGGGCAGGGAGATTTTATATAATAGACACCCGCTTGGGAACCTCTACCCCACTGACTTCTTCTGCTCCTAAGCTACTCTACTCGTATGGCTGTATTTCCACATAAAAACAGTTTTAGTCTACAGAATAGTAATGGCCGAGAAATTACAGGATACGATTGTGTTATTAGTCTTTAGTAATGGCTAGGCATGAGGATTCACTTAGGCTTCACAGTATATTTTGTAATGCGGTGGTGCTGTTCGTGTTTTGACCACTTCTCATAAGATGACCATGTTTTCTTTGCCATTCCAAGTTGTATAAATAAAAATTCTATAAGTCATTCTGTTACACTTAAAACAACAGTATGTTAGAATGAAACGAATGAAAATCTACAACAATTTATTCTAAAACGAATGTTGTAACAATTATTATAATACTCATACTACACGATAAATAAGTATGCAATTAATTGGAAATAATTATAAATATAAATATAATAAATATAAATATATACGGACAAATCACACAGATTGAGCTAGCCTCAAAGTAAGTTCGAGACTTGTGTTATGGGATACTAACTCAACGGTACTATATTTATAATAGATACATATATAGATAAACATCCAAGACCCAGGCCAATCAGGAAAAGATCGTTTTCCATCATAACCTGGCCGGGGATCGAACCCGGGGCCTCCACGTCACAGGCAGGCGTGTTGACCGCTGCGCCACGGAGGACGACAACAATTATAAAACAAGCAACGACCAAAATAGTCGCAAGCCCAATAACAATAAGCGAAGTCTTGTCTAACTTGCACAATAATCGTCCACTTTTTGTTAATCATCCGTTACGCAGTCGTGAAATAAATGAATTGCTTTCTACGATCACTTTTCAGTTGAATAATTGCAATAAAAATCAACAAAACTGTTGCAAATAAAACGTAGTGCTGTCACTCTTCACGTAAATCGGCGTGCCTTAAATGGTCTAGTGGATCTGTTACAGCAATATCTCTAAACAGAGAATCTATTTCGGTGTTAGTGTCATAAATGGGAGGTAAATCTTGTACTCCCCTCCACAAATCGTAATCACTTATAAATGGCACGGAACCATTGGTACACTGTGGAGTATTTGTCAAAGAAACACTATTCTCCGCTTGTGTTGATAAATTTTTGTTGCTAAGCCTTTCAAATGTCTCCTTTTCTATGCGATCCAGTCGATCAATGACCTCGGCGGCATCAGCTCCTTTTGGTCTTTCAGTAAAATCAATGTCGATCTCGATTCTGAAAACATACAAGTTATTTATATTCAAATTTTTCCTTTGATATATAACTAGGCCGTGCCCTGATAGTTCCCGATAATATTGTATGACTGAATCTCCACAATAATGACATTCTTTGTCACTTGAACTTACTTGAAAGGTAAACAGAATACATAATCTGTATTTTTAGGTTTATGTAATAGTAGCTATATAAAGAGAAAAACCGGTAAAGTGTGTGTTAAACTCTTTCGCCGAGAATTCCGTGCATACAATAGTCTCTAAAAAGGTTTTAAAAATTCATTTAAAAATTCATACGAATGTAAACGTGTTTAAAATTCGCAATTACTATTATATACAAAAAATAATCTTAAACAAAATATCTTCAATGATAGTACTAGAATATTTAAACTTCTCTATAAGAATATATCTTTGTATCACAATCTAAATTTGAGCAACCCCCATCTATTCGCTAAAAACGATTAGAGGCTGATGAAATGATTTTTTTTTTTCGCATTTTCGATCATAATTTAAAAACTATACAGCCTAAAAATAAATAAAAATTAATTTTAAAATGTACAAATGAAGCCTTATCATATAATACCATACTTGAACTAGGAAGTCCATTTTGAAATTTTGAGCATCCACTTTGCAAACCCCCTAGCAAAGATAATAAAAATATTTTTCCAGTTATTTCCATTGCAATATGTATGGACTAACAATATGTAAAACTATTTCTAATCAATATCATTAGTACTTACTGAGACATAGCACTATGATAGACGGACGGATAATATCGCACTATAAGGGTTCCTCTGTACCTTTTCTTTTTACAGAAACAGTAATACAAATATGGAGAATTGCATGTTTATGTAAAAGAAGCCTCTTAGGTAAATACATTACGATTACATTACGGGGCAATAAATATGTAACCCATTGTTGAATTATTTAACACAAGAATTGCATTTTTATGTTATGTTTATACTTTCTATTGTACCTACCTACTGCTTATTTTTCTCCTGTGACATATTATTCAAGGCTGTCAATGAATGCTTTGAATATCTAATAATGTTTGTAATAAAATTTTATATTCGACTAGATTTTTGTCTGCTATTTCAAAATGTAGGTGGTAGGTAGAAAACAAATGAAATAGAGCACTTCTAAATGTCGTATTAAGATGAAACATATACCAATTTTTATATCAGACCTCCAGGAATACAACAATGAAAATCGCATTGATTTGTTGCAATAGTTTTTGCGTAATACTAAAACAAATATACAGACAAATAGACAAAATTTCTAAGGTATTGTTTTGACATCCATTAATCTAATTAAGACCTCTATGTATTTAATATCTGTATATATTTAATACCTGCCATGTGATTCCGGCATAGAATAAGCTACCTTTCTATCGTCGTAAGAGGCGACTAAGAGAGAACGAGGGATGGGCAGCAGCATCCTTCTTAAAACACCTCTAAAGCCTAACTGCGGTTGCCAGTTTGCTTGCCAAACGTAGCAATTAATGTCAACCCCCTCCCCCCCCCCCCTCAGGGGGACGCCTATGTTCTCCAATGGACAGTTAAAGGCTGATATGATATTTAATACTATAGTTATTTAATAAACAAACTTTATCTATACTAATACTATAAAGAGAAAGGATTTCATTGTTTATTTGTAATGGATAAACTCAAAAACTACTCAACCTATTTTAAAAATTTTTTCACCTATAGAAAGCTACATTATCAGCAAGTAACATTGGCTGTATATTACTTTCAAAAATTCTATCTACCTATACTAAGCTGGGCCGATTTGTAAGTAACTTATAAATGTGAAAGTTACTGAAGATATTTGGATATTTATTATTCAAGTAGCCGTTACCCGCGACTTTGCTCGTACGTAAGTATAATTATAATATAATAATAATAATAATAACTTTATTGCATAACCATGATTTTAACAAATTCAGCACTAGAAATTACAGTAAAAGTAGATACGAATTCATTTGTACATTTGGATCAGTTTAAACATCTGTGTCTGAACTAGGTTATAAAACCTGTATCTCAGACAACAGCGCTCAACCCTCATTATATAGTATAATGTTAGTTCAGCTAAATTTTTAGTGCTACATATAGAATATTGATATTATATAAATTAAAATTAAAAGATAAACAGTTGTATAGAAGTATGTGATTTACAAAATAAGAAACATGAAATTTCATTCTAATTTTGTAACCAGAATTTATATAGTTATTTGTGTAACTAGTGTTCTATAAAAAAGTCTTCAATTGTGGTAAAATCAGTTACTTTCATCTAAAAACTAAACTATTGAACTGATTTTGATAAAAAAATCTATGGGAAAAAAGTAATACAAATATGGAGAATATATGTATATCCATATCTATCTATATCTATATCTATATCTATCTATATCTGTAAGTATATTCTTTTAAATAAAAAAAATTCAAATCCGTTTGCAACTGAAGTAGTTACGAGGTAACAAACATATATAAAAAAACAAATTGAGAAACTCCTTCTTTGTGTAGTCGGTTAAAAAAGTATATTAGGACGATTTTATTTTTCTTTATACTCTTTTAAATATTTATACAGAGTTTCATCTTCGTTATTTCGTTAAAAGTATAAATTTTTTTTATACAAACTTCACTATGGTAGAGAAGTAAATAAAAATACGAAGCGGGCGAAATTCGAACCTTAAATACCTTGGTGCTTGAATACGTGACAGATGTAGTCGCTCGCTTACATAACTTTACCTAGTTTCTAAGTAAACATTGCGTATTTACCCAGTTAATTCTTTGAACTTAACCCAATCTTCAAGACGAGGTGCGCGCGGAATTTCCGCCGCCATTGCCCGGTCGGCTCCCTCCATTGATTGTTCTACCAAATACTTCTCTAAATCTGCTTCTGTGGAGAAAAACCTAAATCTTACAAAGGCTCCAACGATTGATTGTTTTAGAACAGCAAACATGCTACAGATGGAAAGTGGTAATCTTCATCACTTATAAACGAACATATAGATAACACGAAATACTCGACGCTCGTGTCAGTCATCATATGTTGACATTTCCAAGAATTATCTAAAAACTGAGTTATTCGACTTTTTTAATATTAGCAAGGGGCTAGTGTTGCTCAATAAATAATGTTTTTAATGATATTTTTACTTAATACCAAGAAGCCAAAAAGTTAGTGTAAGGAATTATTGAGATTATACTATTTTGTAAGCGTTATAGTTATTGATTATTTATAATTGACAGCAACAAAGTTAAACTTAATTAAGTTTTTCAACCGAACACCAAAGATAATTTCATAGTCTCCAAGTAACTAGGTATAGTAATGATAATGGGCGATGTCCGCTATGAAATAAATTGTCCTCTCATAAAATTGTAAAACGATTCTAGCTAACTATATACTCATAGTAGCATATATTAAATATATATTATAGTTATAAGCTTTCTACAATACAAATAAATAAAATATATCGCCTTTAAATATTCAAATATCATTATAATAAAAATTAATTAATTATAATTCTCTCTAGTTTAAAGAATAAAGCTTAATAGGCACTATAGATACTAATATAATTTTAATATTTTCTTATCTTGACCGATTTCACTTTTAACATAATATTTAATGTGGATAGAGCGATTAGGATGTATATATTATATATATTAAAATCCCATTCTATGCCGTGTAACCCCAATATAAAATGGGCCAGCCCTTCCTTTCCTGTAGATGTCATATGAGGAACTAAGAGAAGTTAAAGGTCAAGGGAAAGGTAACAGTGTCCCTTTTAAAACATTACCAAAACCCTAACAGCGGTTGCTAACCCTCTACTTAGCGTGGCAACTACTGACATAACCCCCTTACAGGATAGATGCTCATATTCAACAGTGGACAGTTAACAGCTGATGTAAATATATCAAAATTGGCTAACATTTTACATAACAAATAGGATAAAATAACAGTAACTTCAATTATGCCAAAATTAATATGGAAACAATGGGAGAATAAATCATATTAATTTTGAACATATTTACCAAGTTTAAAATTAGTGGAATATCACGTAACCTTAGATTATATAGATAGATCGTCAAGCCTCAAAAAGGGATCAACTTTTTGTCAGCTAATTGTCAAATTAGCTGGCTCTTTTTTTTTATTAGTATTCTCTATACTTACGCATAAAATATACATTTTATGCTTGACATATTATTAAATAAAATGAGTGTTTTCGCATTAAAAAGATGTAGAAATTATAAGACAAAATAAATATAGAAGTCATAAAGGAATCACTCATAACTATTTATCACACAAAATTGTATGAAAAAGTTTACCCGTTTTTTTCGAAGCATTTCTATGGAGACCCACTATATTTATAATTTAAGCACGTAACATAAAGAGTACAACCAATTAGAGAACCTCTTCCTTTTTAAAGTAATTTAAAAATATGAATAATAATCTTATTTTATTAATGTTCAAAATAACTTGTTTACCGTTAGCAGTAGTTTACAAACTCGAGACTGCTAGTAAGAGACTTTGTGCAAAAATCATCTTAATGCTAGGGTACCTCTGTCCCATTGGTACTTTTGTCATGAAGCAACTGAGTGTTGGTTTAAAGGATGAGATAATATAGCAGTTATATTAAAGGATACGGAAGTAAAAAATCATAGTCCTCAACATTGATGTACTTAATTTTACAAAAGGGATCTAGCGCCTCAAAAGGTGCATATGTTCTCTCAAATGTCATTTCAAAACTTTCCTTGCTCCCTGAGCTGAACACATCCTTCCTCCCACCCTTAACACGTTGGTCATAATATATTCTGTAATGTCTATAAACAAGCGATGATTACCACTTTCCATCAAGTTGGCCATTTGCCATTCTATATAAAAGTCTTACCTGAAGTTTGTCTTGCTGTAGCAGGTCTGCGTAAAGCCCTCGCCAAGTTTCCACACACCGGTTCATGCGAAGTCAATTTGCTTCCACTGCATCGCCATTCCTCATCTTAAAATATAGGTATAACATTTCTTTTAATATATTTTAAATATGCGTTGTTACTTTTATGAATAAGGGGTTATTCATCAAAAACTTTTTCAGAAATATATTAACACTATTATAAAGTTATTAGTTTAAGGACATAAATATAGAGAATTTAATCACTTTTTATTTTTATTTTAAACACTTTTTTTACCTAATGGACCATTTATATTTATTAAATATATTAATTTTTGAAATTATAAAAATATAATTTATTGAAATATAAAAAGTAAGAACCTATTTATGTAACAAAATTGTACCTCTTTTATGCCAGCTTATAATTATAATTGTCAGCAACGTACCCATTAGTGTATTCAATATCTGCAGTTTGCTCGGCGCCTCCAGGGAAGGTTTGCTGTGAGCGGTCCTTGGTCTTTCAGGAAGAGACGGCCTCGTGGGACGCATCCCAACACATTCCGTGGTGGCTGGCCGACGACGTACCAACCTTTCTAGTTTAGACGCCTTACTCTCACTATCAGAAGCCTGCTCTAAATTTGGCTACAAAAATAATGTTCTTATAATTTATCAAGTTATGTCTAGACTTTTTGATTATGATTATACCTATTGTATATATGTATAATCATAATCAAAAATGGCTGTGTTTCGGTTTGAAGGGTGGGATATGGCGTGAATTTACTGGGTACAGAGGAATAACATCTGAGTCCTCAGGAATGGCAACGCATGGGGGGTATCATGGGCGAAACAGTATACTCTGTTATGTCCATGGTACTGCTCATGACTATAGGCGACGGTTACCACTTTTTATCAGGTGGGCCGTCAGCTTGTTTGCCATTCTAAGTTGTAAAAAAAAGTTATATTATACAAATTATAAAAATTATTATGCCTGATAAGATGAAGATCCCTGCATATTTTAGCAGTATTTTACTGAACTAGTTGTTACCTAGCGGAAATCCATATCACTGGTTATTTGCTTAGAATTATTTTGTTTAATTTCACTACCATTAGTATGTGTGTGGCTGCCAACACTCAAAGATTGACCACCACTATCGACACACTAGGGTCCGAACAGAGGATATCTCATTTAGAGGTGAAACACGCATCGCAAAACGTACGTGAACAAAATGGCAGTCGGAGATTGATGGTTAATATGAAAGGTTGTGGAACTTCTGGTTGAATAGTGGTTTCGAATTTTGACAGTTATACATATACTAATGGTAGAAGAATTAAACAAAATAATTAGTTAATATCAGTATTTTTAGTCTGCTTGGGTATTTTTGTCCCACTCGCAATTCCGCTACTAAGCGGCATAGCTGTTTCGGTTTGAAAGGTGGAATAAAGCAATAAAATTACACAGTGCGGAATTATCATTACAATATCTTGGTTGTCCTCAATACAGGCAGCATATGAGGAACTCAACAGGCATCACAGTAGTATTTTGCGTTATCCGTTATCCAACGTAAACTTTAAACTTATGAATTAAGGGCAATGTCCTTAATTTACTTCGCAGTTATTTACTGTCGCAAACAAATTACTGAAATAACAATAAAACTATAAAACAAAACAACAACAAGCTTTTAAATCAAAACTGCGTATTGTTGTATTTATATTTGGTGTACCTACCCCAAGGAAGTGTACCGATCCCCCTCCTTTTCCTTACATATACTCGTATTAATGACTTGCCAAATTCTATTGATCAACCTATGACATGATTTGCTGATGATAGCACAATTACAACAAATTGTATTGGCATTAACCTTTATGAAGCCGACATTAATAGATCATTACCATTAGTAATTAAAAGGCTTAACAATAATAATTTATAAATTAACTTAAAGAAAATCATTGTTATGCATGTCAATCAAAAATCTCAATATTTTTTAGCCTAAAATTAATATATGACAGCATTAAAGAAGTTGACACAGCCAAATTTCTTGGACTAGAAATTGAAGCTAAATTGGAAAAGCAACATTGATGATCTAAATAGAAAACTTTATTGTTTAGCATACATTCTTTATAAATTACCTAAGACTGTAAATATTAATACACTGCTCACAGTATCACGGTCTTGTCGAATCAATATTAAGATACGGCATTTAAGATTCAAATACGCTATATATAAGGTCTATGTTTGGACTAAAAATCAAAGTGCTATAAGCCACTATTTATCAAACTTAATATTCTAACATTTGCATTGACATTGCGTCCCTATATATATTTAAAATATATTGTATTGTATTTGTAACAGTCAACACACATTTATTTCCTCGATTATCTGACAGGGTGATTAGAAACAGATGATATAAGAATCGTTTATGTATGTATACAACCAGCCAAAACAACATGTCTACAAAGATGTTTTATGTGTACGGTCCTAAAAGTCTATATAAAATTCCAGAGCAATACAAATGTTTAAAAACAAATTTGTTCAAGAAAATAATGAAAAAAATGCTAATTAACAAATGTTATTATAATGTTAATGAATTTTTAAAATACAAATTTTAATAAGACATACATAAATTTTTAATTATAGATATTACTCTCTGTTGAAATATTATTTAAATATTTGACATTTACAACTAATATTTAAACTTTTGACATTTCTTTTTGAATATTAATATTTGTTATTATTGTATTATTATTTACATTATATAATTTGCAATATTTCTTTTTGTAAAACTCTTCGTCAAAAAAATGTGCATGCTAATGTTGGCAAAACACGTTAGAACTATCATCATTATCAATTCAGCAATTATCTGTCCACTCCTAAATATAGGCTCCCTATAGACTGCCACAAGGAACGGTCCTGAGGCACCTGCATCTACAGGCCCCCTGCAATGTATTTGAGATCGTCACTCTATCTAGTAGGAAGTCGTCCTACACTACGTTTGTCCATACGGGATCGCCACTCAAGAATCTTTCTTCTCTATCGGTTGTCGATTCTTCGAGCTATATGATTAAACCATTGCCACTTCACTTGCTTATCCTTTGGGATATATCGGTTACTTTGGTTCTTTTGCGGATATTCTCACATCGGATTCTATCACGCAAAGAAAGTCTGAGCAAAGCTCTCTAAGTGAGCATAGCCCACTAAATAATTTGAAGCTTTTTCATACGGGTAACGTTGTAGGACGCACTGTGGTATTTTGGATGAAAAGATGCGACGTAGGTTTCCGAACGTTGCCCATCCTAGCTAGGCAAACAGAACTATAACATAGTTGTTGTTTTATTTTAGTTTGTGTTTGTCTAACACATGTTAATGCAAATAAATTTATCTTTATTTTGTTTATCTTTATGCATGGTACTATTCGTGTCTATATGCGGTGATTACTACTTTCCATCAGATGAGAATCCCCTTAGTTTCTTTAACACTCCACGTTGCATATAAAAATGTCGTTATGTTTTTATTACAATTAAAATTTGTAGATTTATAGAACACCAAAATCAACCTTTGGAAACTGCGAAGATGGACCAGGCTCGGGTGTAGCAGACAGAGTTTGGGCAACAGCTGCTAATTCCTCGTCTTCCGCATCACTACCTGAGCTCGATGACGGTGGACCAAACTCATCATCAGTTCCATCTGTAAATAATAATGCATGAATTGAACATAAATAATAATGTATATTTTTCTAAAAAATAACCCCGATTTAATATGTGTATTCTAAAATACATTACATGTGATATTTCTTTGCCATTCTTCGAAGAAAATCATTAAGATTAAGATTTATAAGTACCTTTTTCAAATGACTTCAGAAAGTTCAATTATATTTTTCTTTAAGCGGACTATTACAAAATGATGAATCTCAAGATTGGGTTGCGCGCATTGAGTTTCACAACAAAGTATAATATATAACTTTATTTATTATTACTGTTTATTTTTTGTTTTATTTTAAATTTGGAAAAAAAAAATAGTTCCAATTAAGAGCCATTTACTTAAGTATTTGATTTAAAATAAAAAATTGACAATGTAGTCTTAATTTGAACAATAATGATTAGGTTTTAACTTCACATTAGTTTATTAACCAATAACGACCTTAAAATTTGCGTTTCAACGTTCTATAATAAACTGCTTTAGAACTTAAAAAGATTTTAATACACTATTATGAGCAAAATAATAATTTATAAACGCTATCTTTGAGATAAAAATCTATCTATACAATTAAAGAATCAAAATGTATTTCCAAAAAAAAAAATTGCCAGTCATACGATTTGTGTACATTGCATAAACATATTCGTAAGATAAGTATACAAATACAAACTACATATTACACACTATTTTTAACAAACTGTTAACCGATTTTGTAGATTTCAATCTCAAAGGCTTATTTACTGGTATATTTAAGGAGAGAGGGGGGGGAGCGTGTGAACCGTACTTATCCCAAAGTTCTCTAGTACGTATGCGCAAACACATGTCTGACTGTATATAGTTGAACCTTTTTTTTTTCAAGTTTCAACAAAAAATCAATGACAGTGCAGATCAAAGTCACTAAAGGACATAAGACTTGTGTGATATCTACAGATGGGCAAAGCACCGGGTTTAAACCCGGTGCTTTGGTAAAAACCCAATAAACACCCATAAACTCCCATAATCACCCAAAAAAATAGGTTTTTACGTATTTTTTTGAAAATATGTAAGTAATACCAATAAATTATTTTTATAAATTGTATTGATCAATTCTACAATATTAAATAAAACGTTAACTAATAATATTTCAGGAAATTTTAAAAATCTATATATAATAAAATGAAAGTAATTAATTTTCAGTGTTTTCATGTTGCAGTTGATCAACATGTTGGCCTTTTGCTTCCCGTAGATACTTTAAAATTTCTTCATAACACCTCGTTCGCACACATGGCCGTATATATTTAAATTCTTGAGCCACTAACAGTCCGAAATACTCATTTCTTTTATCCTCTTCTCCATAAATTAAGCATTTAGAACAGTTTGTTTCTTCTTTCAGTAAATTTTCTTTTACTTTATCCTCGTTTTTTTCTTTGTTGCGACGACGCTGGGTAAATCATCTGGACACTGGGTCTCACTATCGCCAAATATATTTGGAGATCGGCTTCGGCTACGGCTTGGCAGACATTTTTTTCTTTCTACAATTTTAAATTAAATTTATTAGAATAAATGCTTCGAACACACACGATCTAAGTACCTTTTGTGTTTATTATACCTTACCTACCTAGGTATAAAAAGAGTACTTACGTAGATTTTCTTTTATTAACTGTTTTATACGAAGATCTTGATCTCTCAAATTAGCATCCATTTTACTTCCAGTGATTATCAACTAAATTAATAATCCACAAAGTATTAAATAACGTTTTTATGAAATATTTAGCACAAAAACAATACCCTTTAAATATCGATCGTCAGTAACTGTGGCTGACTTACCTATATTCTAGCAAGCAGGACTGCCAGATGTGAAGGGGAAATCCCCAATAAATTGTTGCATGTGACTGATGATGTGAGCATGTTCGTTTCATAATAAAAATGTTGCCAGGTAACCAAAAAGTCGTATATTTTTGTGCGAATTACGATCATAATCTTTACGATCGTACATTAAAAAATAGACAAATAATAGTATGAGTACGATTTAAATCGTATATCTGTCAACCCTGCTAGCAAGACAGCGACAAAATCACGTTGCATAACAATGTAGCCCAAGCTTATATCTTATGAAATATACGGAAGAGATACGGACTTAGAAAAAACAGAAATGTTGTTCTTTGTGGAAGTCATTGATGAAATTCTATGTATTTTAGCCCGCAAACTTTCTTCAAACAAAAACAGCGCCATCTAGTATCGAGTTCTGTAATTATCTCTTTGTTTATGGATTTGAAGTAAGACCGCCACGCATGCAATACCTTATGACTGGGGATTCCCCTATTCGTCGACGCTGAATATGAGGCGACGACAATCACTGTCAAACGTGTTCACTATTACTCTGACTCTAGTAACGTGACTTCCTGGTAACGTGTTAGGTAGGAAAAGCAGTAAAAAAGTGCATATTAAGGGAGCAGATTTGAAATAATATTTATACTTAACAAGAAATAATTAAAGGTAAGTGGATTTTTGAATGATACAATTATATCATGATCACTTAACAATTTTAACTTAAAATTAGATGTATTATTACAAGCTTTTATTTAGCTTGCGTTATGTAAATAAAAGTATGTAGGTATGTTCGTATGTTGATGCAATTATCCTCAATCCTCAACCGACTGGGATAAAATTTTCCATACACGTTTATTTTGGATGATAGTGCATAGTTAGCTGAGAGTCGTCATTGGATAATAATGGTGGATAGCCTAAGATGTGTACTAGATATTTATTTTTAACATAATATGCGTAAGTACCTAATCGAATTAAAGAAGTTGCTGAGAAAAATACAGAACAATACGATAATAAACTAGCGTCTGCGTTTAATCCTCCGAGGAGATGTAATTTTACAAAGGTTTTTTGTATTTATTTTATTATTTTTTTAATAAATTTATTGTAAATAACAAGAAATAATCATTGTAAAAAAATAGGCACTCTATTGTTGAATTTTCGTCAGACCAACTAATCATCGTTCATTTTTTTAGGTTCAATGGGGAGACCTAAAGATTTACGCATATGGGAGCACTACCGTACTTTACCAAACAAGTCTGTTTCTTGCAAGCTTTGTAATAAGGTCTACAAATTCAGTAATGCTGCCAAAATGCTTCAACATCTTATCACTTGTCCAAAATCTCCAGAAACATTAAAAGACTCTATGAAACTTATAAAAGATAGCTCGTCCAAAACCAAAATGTCTGGACTGTCAGAGATAGAGACAAATGATTCTTTTATAAGCCCCTCGTCGTCTGCTAACACTACAATAAATGCTGAGTTTCAAGACACCGATGATCATATAAAAACAGAATTAGCGAGAGCTATATTTGTAACAGGGACGCCATTATCGATGGTGCAACATCCTTTATGGATACAATTTTTCGAAAAATTGCAACCAAAATTTAAAATACCTTCACGTAAAGCTTTAGCGACAAAATACTTAGATAAAATATATAGAGAAATGCGTTTTGAGTTAAATGAGGAACTAAATGCTTGTAGTTACTTACACCTTCAGTGCGATGGCTGGTCTAATTTAAGAAATGAAGGAATAATAAACTTTCTTATATCAAAACCTCAACCTGCATACGTTAAAAGTTTGAATACAGAAAGTAATCCTCACACTAGTGAATACCTTAGCCAAGAAGTTGAAAAAGTAATGAAAGTGTATGGAGCAAATAAGTTTCTTGTACTTATTGGCGATAACGCTAGAAATATACAAAAGGCATTCGAATTAACAAAACTCAAATATCCACATGTTGTTCCTCTCGGTTGCTGTGCACATATCCTTAACTTGTTGTGCCAAGATATTGTAAAGATACAAGAAGTAACTGTGTTTATTATGCAAGCCATAAATATAATAAAAACTGTTAAAAGGAGTCAACGATTAAGTTCCTTGTTGATAAAATCAAGGCAGGGTGAAGATTCTACACAAACACTAAAATTGCCTTGTGCTACAAGATGGGGAAGTCATGTTACTTCGTTAAAAAGTTTGAAAGCAAATAAGATAGCTTTGCAAATATTAACAGTTAGAGAAGATGTGGTAATTTCAAGAGATATTAAAGATTTAATTCTAAGTGATGATTTCTGGACGAAGACAGGGGAATGTATAAGTATTTTGGAACCAGTCACTGAAAGCATATTTTACTTAGAGAGCGACCAGAATCGTTTGCATCGCACATACATTACATTTAGAGATGTACAAGCTAAGATACGTTTTGCATTAAATGAGATTTCGACATTGAGCGAAGAAAGCAAACAGCAGATTCTAACATCAGTATCTTCAAGATGCAATATGGCAATGAGGCCAATACATTTTGCAGCATATATTCTAGACCCCAGGACTCTAGGAGTCGAACTTACTCAAGAGGAAGAACTTAAGGGTATGGAGTTTATCTACAATTTAAGCCAACACTTAAGTTTGTCAAATGTAATGGCAGATTTGGCGTGTTATAAAGCTAAAGAAAACTTTTGGGCCAGAGGATTTGTATGGAGCTCATTAGATAGCATTGAGCCCCTAATATGGTGGAAAGGTATTTGTGGTTCCACTGAGTTAAGCAAAGTAGCGATTCGTATTCTATCAGCTCCCTGTACTTCGGCAGCCACTGAGCGTTCCTTTAGTATCCAAGGCTACATACATAATAACAAAAGAAATCGACTTACAACTGAAAGAACTGAAAAAATTTCATTCATTTGTTATAACTGGAATCTTAAACATAAAGCTGAATGCGAGGACATTCAGTTTAATGAAGAAAATACCTTAGAAGCTTTCATTGAGCAAGTAAATGAACATAACAGTTTAGACGAAATAGAGCCTATCGAACCTATACAATTCATCGCTTGTAATAACTCTGAATCTGACAGTGATTGACTGTAGTTTTACATTTTACTTTCATCTCTTTCTTAATAAACTCAAAATCAAATTAAAAGTTTTTTATTCTGTAGGCTGCATAATAATATTGTCTATGTCCAGTATAGTGGACGTCTTGCGGCTGAGATGACGATGATGAAGTACAAAATCATAAACACCCAAAAATTTGGGTGTTTATGGGGTTTAAACCCAATAAACCCAAAACACCCGGTTTTTACCCACCAGACTTTAAACCCACCCAGGTGGATTGCCCATCTCTAGTGATATCATCAAACAATGAATGGGCCTGATGTAGATAAATATCAACTAAATTGAAATATATAACATACACTCAATATCTGTATGCAATGGATGATCGTCCAAGTAGACCAACATGGGTAAGCATGAAGCAACATTCGTTCTATAATGTGGTGAATCAGCCACCGGAGTTCCGCTTAATGTTAATCGACGCAGCGAACCACAGACCCCTAAAGTCCAAAGACGACTAGACTCTGCTACTGGATTACTGAAAGATACATAGAATGTTTGCAAATATATATATATATATATATATATATATATATATATATATATATATATATATATATATATATATATATATATATATATATATATATATATATATATATATATATATATGGGGGAAAGGGATTGTTAGTAATGGGGTCTAACTGACCCATTGCTACCAATACACCCTATCAGGTCAACCTGCACGCGATTTCCCCTGGAAACTATTGTGGTTAATTCCAATGGAATTCATCACAAAGGGTTAATTGACCTGCTTTCATCGTCACCTATCACTAGTGTGCACTAGTGCCCCGCCAGCGTATACCAATAGCACGGGCGTGGTTACCATACCATTATCACCCATTAAAAAAATATATCTATATATACGTTATCGCTACCGCTCAAATGAGACAGAGACAGCCGGCGTCTTATACTTTCAAAACGAAAGTATATCAACTTATAATTCTTCATTTGCTATTTATGTAGTGGTGCATTAAACTGAATTTACCTAATTTAAATCTTAGTGATATCAAGAAATGATTATTAAAATAACCGAATATACGTACTCTGCTAAATTTAATGTATGCAGTTTTTGCAATGCCCCTAAAGGCTGTAAGTCTTTAATTTTATTTCCACTAGCATACATTTCCTGTAGCGCCCCTAAGCCCCACACACCATCCAAAGAGGCCAGGCCACAACGGCTTATACTCAATATCTGCAACATTAATTTTGATTAACATTTCAGTTCTTTTAATTAAATATATATAGCACTCCCCTTCTATGCCTTGAATGTACATCCTCACCCGTATTTTTTACTTATGCCAAAACATCAAACCCCTGTAACGTGAGAAATAGAATTAGATACTTTGAAATAGAATCGTTATAATTTTTTAAACGATCTGCCTTCTCTTTGTAAGTATAACCTGCAGAACTAACACTTCTTAAGTTCTTTTTTATTTTAAAGAAACCTACCGAACCAAATTGAATTAAATTTTGCAGATTGTGTTTAAAAATTCACTGAGAAGTCGCGAATATGTGAATACATGTTGTACATTACTTTCAAATGAACTAAGCCAATGCCAAGTTCTCTTAGGGATGACAAAGCGCTCCCATCCAAAATTAGGGAACGTAGTCTCGGTGTAAGCACATGAAGTCTCCTCAATCCCACACGTTCAGCTACCACTCGAAGTTTTGCCTCTCGGATGCGAAGTACCTCTTCGTCAGTGGTAACACCACTACATTGTTTCTTTAAAAAAAAATGACAATTTCTAATGTGAACTGCTAAATAATAGTACTAATTTTTTTAGGTCCGTTACAATTTAGTATGCATGTGATCACCAAGCTACGAAGATCATAGCCATCAGTAAAGGCAACCAATAAACATTAACAACCAAACTTCCGTTAGAGGAAATTAGTATCCGACATGGACAAAAACATTTGCAGTATTCGTAATCATTTATAAAAGTACTCAATAGTAATCATATGTATCATGCTACTGCACTGTTTCAGGCCTTTTCCTATGAAAAGGCACAAGTGAAATAATAGTATTTGGTATATACGCCATCTCCTATTCTATTAATTAATCCCGACTCTCACTCGATTAATCCTTTTTGAAAGCAATGGAGAATTTTCGCGACATACGCAGCCACTTTTTTTATGCAAAATAATTTTCCTTACACAATTATCAATAGTTGCATTTTATTTTATCCTTTTTCAAACTCTGTTTCTTTGAAGAAAATATTTTGTTTCTATGCTATATCACTCTCTTAAAACGATGCTAAATGATTTCGATTTAGCCCTATACATATATAAATTATACGTACAAGTAATTCGATTAAAGTCAATTCTCGAGGAATAACAATGCGCCTGTAACCGGGTAAACGGCGTTCCAACTCATCTTGGCCAGGAGGTTGCACTGGCTCTGGTGGGGGCATTGCCAATACCCTGTAATAATCAAATGAAGCTACACAATATTTAATATTTACTTTATTATTTGTAACTCAAAAAAAAAAATCTTTTCATCAATGCCCAGTTTTTATATAATAAGGAGCAATCAAAGATATCAATTGCTCAGCCTAATAGTAAGAAGCCAAAAGCCAACGAGTGCTTACAACAGTAAAGGCGTCACTAGTACGTTAGCGAACCTTGCTGTAAGTACGGAGATCATAAGTTTAAAGTATCATACGTTTAAACTTTTTTCTTAGTTTTACTATGGACGAAATCGTCCATAATTTTACCATAAAATTGAAATCAAAATATCGTTTGCGTCAACCATATTACCGCTGCGCTACAGATGCTTTTTAAAACAAATAAGAAAGTTGCCTATTCCTGTTTATTAATTTTAAGGCTGTTTTGCGCAGCAAAATCTTAAATTTTGATTAAATTATCGATAGAATTTGCTCACATAATTCGTGACATTGTTGTCACAACTAAAGTCTGTTATATCTTTTATATTTCTTGTCATTTACCTAAATAAGGGAGTAGCTCTCATAAGCGGTGGTTCAGGTGAACTAGTGCTGGATATTTCCGACGGTGAAGGCGATAGTGCGATATTCGGCGTCTGTGGGGCACTACCTAGTTCCACGCACGGAGCTTCGTGAGCAGGCATATTCTAATAAAAATAGGTAACTTCATTATAACATTATAATAAATCATGATGCATAAATATATACATTTCACTAATTATTAAAGTAAAATTTTAATTTTAGAGATATTTTTAAAAAATAGCTTTTAAAAATCAACCATAATTTCTGCGTAATCACGCTGATACCTGGAATTTTTTTGAATTATAAAATGTGTCATTTTGACATTTTAGATATTGTAAACTGAACAGAATGAAGAAACAGATGCGATTGTGATTTAACGAAGAGTACAACGAACAAACCTAAGCATTCATTGACGCTTTACAACACATTTGACTTGAAGTAGTGGTGTCATATAGTGAATGAGGAGTTACTATACCTACCCTAGATTTCTTCCCAACCAATTATTAGTTCTTGATCCTTTAGTCTACAAATCCTTCGAATTATATATCAGTTTTTGGTACTTCTACGGACATACAAATACTCATTTTAAATATTCTCATGCAGCGAGACTCTTTAAAACACATCAAGACAAGAGTTTCCTATTCCTCAAATGATTAGCAGTATGACACAATGTTTCAGTTCTATAAATTATAACTGCGCAGCGATGACAGTAGGTACCAGGTATAAGCGGTACCAGCGTACCAATCTAATGACAAGCATATAGTCTTCATTCTCATGGTAATAACCTAATACATTGTAGTACAAATTAGATACTGTACCTACTCCTAAATAGATAAATACAATAGGAAGGCCAAATGTGTGGACAAGGACAGACATTAAAATACACGACACATATAAGAGTATACCTATTTACTTATGTCTTGAACTTAAAGACCTTAAACTTAATATTTATTATAATTCAGGTATTAGTACAGAAGTAATCTAACCTATTTTATAATTTACTATGCAATAACCAAGTACAAATATCAAAGTAAATTAGTCTAACATGGACGTGTGTGTAAGACTTAAATATTGTTTGTATTCATGAAATAAAAGTAGAAATTCATTTTGTCAAATAATTGTTATTATTTACAAAATACGAATAGTCGGAATTGGGGTAGCTTTAATATTAGTTAATATAAATACTTACTTGAATTTAATTTTGCAATATTTATCAATATTAACTTTGTTTATTTGTTGCTATGAACAACCGTAAAAAAAATAGATTAAGGTAATACCTCACTAAGCATAAGACATATATCAGAATAAAAGTACTTATATAAAAAGTACACTTTCTTATTTTATAGGGCAATTTGAAACTACATACATAACGCATTTATAATTTTATTATGGAGACACGACGATGGACAGCCAGAAAATTCTAAAGCATTTTGTACACATTTGGATTAGGTACTCACCTTCCGATGATCGCAAGTCGATCACCTCACAATACAAATATTTATATCCATGTTACACATGGATGTGTATGTCTAGGTATTTTTCTATGTATAATATATAAGTATAAATAAAAAATTTTGAAATTTAATATAATATAGTACTCAAAGTACTTACAAACGTACGAGTATTTAATATTTACTAATCACATTTTGCTTCTTTGCTTACGTGATTCAGCACATGAACTATCCTGAAATATCCTATGTAATAATTTAGAATATAACCTACTCGTGTACCAAGTTTTAATTAATTATAGGTATTCAGTCGTTTAAGCGTGATTAAGTAATAAACACAAATATCTTTATAAATTTTCACATTTATGATATGTATAAATAGAATTCTGCTTTCCTGACATACTTAAACAGAATAATTGTACAATGTTGTGCCATACTACGATAAATTATAAATAATAATTGAGATTTTTAAGCCAGTTACGATTGTCCCTACCAGTGTTTCCCCACTAGGCAAGGACTACTACTTATCCATTTTTAGTTTTGGATCTTACCAGTTATTTAATGAAAAAAACAAAAGCGTATTATATGTGTATGAATCCTCCCTAAACAATGTAGAAACGAATATATCGATAAAATCGTTTCGGCCAGCGCTCCCATGTGAAAAAACAAAACAGCACACATAGCCACCTCGTGCTAGGTATCTTATGGACTCGCTAACGACAAACAATGATTCTATCAATAAATTCGTCTGTGTGTACTTTGTCTCAGGGGCAGGTGTATTGTAAGTCAGATTTACATAGTACACAATAATAAATGTTAAAACCACTTATTTTGATTTTATAACTAACTACAGAATCGATTTTAGCAAAATTTCTATGACATCAGTCTAAAAGTATATCCTTTCAGAAAAATAAAAAAGAATTTTCCAAATTGGTTTATAACTAATGGAGTTAAAAGGCAACAAACATAAAAAAAACACCGTTTTTTTTTTATATAATGTAAAAGAAAAAATGTGTTCGAAAATAATATGTTCGTTCATATAGTATTAGAGCTAATTTTTATGCTATATTAAAAATTTTGCCGAACTTGTGAAATGAACTAATATCAATTATTGTTGTTCCTATCATGCTATGGATACGAACCATATGAACTGAAATTGAATTATAATAACACGCCCGACACTTCAGGCTCAAAGGGGCCACAGACGTCCTGATCTTTGTCGTGATAAAGGCCTTTTATAAAATCTGGCACAGCGACCTGATTTACAAGCTACATAAAATGGGAGTCCCAAACAGGCTCGTGCACGTCATACTTCACACTTCACACGTCATCTTCTTGTCGAATCGCACTTTTCGCTATCGCGTCAACGGCGTGCAATCCAGCGCGCGTTCCATCAGAGCCGGCGACCACCAAGGCGCCGGCTGAGTATTCCTGCATGCGACGTGTTCTCTTGTCAACGGCGTTAGTTGATGTTTACGATAAATATAACATTATTCATTCTGTGTGCGTGCTCTTAGACTCGGGAAGCGAACATTGCATTATGACGCGATCTCTATGCGAATTACTAGACTAGCCATTTATACAGTCTACTTAAGAAATTCATGGGATTGGAAATTCAATAATTCAGTCGACACAGACGTGCGATATTAAAATTAAATCCCGTACCAGCCTTTACACTATGCGCATGCGATGTTTTATGTTGCCGCATATCACATCTACTTTGCCAGCGATACCGAAACAACACGCGCAGTTTCGAATCCCTAACAACGTTCAACTAGCAGATCCACACTTTTACGAACCCCAGAGTATCGATATTTTAATAGGCTTTTATAATTAATAATTTAAAATTCTCGGATTTATTAAGTAACGGTACAATGCGATTACCGAATGGTCCGTTTTTACAAAATACGCGTCTAGGCTAGATTATTTCGAGTTCCGTAAAAGTAAACATGCAGAATACGGGCCAAATCCAGTGTAATTTTACTCGTAATATTGATACACAACTAAGATAAATTGGGAGCTTGAGGAAATCAATAAACCGTGTGAGACGTTAACGGATGATTAAAGACAGTGTGAAAATCTTTTCATTAAAACTACAACGCGCAATGACGATGGAAAGTTTTTTATAAGCATTCCTCTTAAATCATCACCAAATTAGTTAGGCGAGTCATATACTCAAGCTCTAAACCGATCTTATTCTTTAGAAAAACGATTAGATAAGTAAAAGCGATTCTAAACTCGTGACCACTTTCCCCTATGTCATCAGATCCTCATGACCTTTTTTCCTCGAGTCCTGCACACTTCCTAGTTGGTCGTCAACTCACGACGCCATGAAGATATACGAAATCATTTAGGAAATTTCCTAAGTCGCTATAAAAAAATAAAAGAGATTTGTCATCACTTCTGGTCAAGATGAGCACAGGAATCTCCAACAGGAATCTGAACTCCAGATCCGAAGCAAATAGAAGGAGAATATGGACTCATTGTAACCTAATACTCTCGTGGTTATTAAGGAAGACAAGTTACCTCCATTGAAGTGAAGGCGCATCATAGCTACCATCCTGGGCAAGGACAGCATCTCGCGAATAGCAGACATACGCACAGCATCAGACACAATACACCGTTTGTTTACAAAAATATGTCCCTTATTCCAAGAAGATGCAAGTGTTTCCAAGGCTGAGGTATGTCGCGTACAGTAAGAAGCGAATGATAGCAACACCGGTTGTGCCCCAGGATTGGTCCACTTCATTTACTTTAAAAAAAACTTTGCTGTATGTGTCAACGCACGATTTTGAAAATTCAAATGGATCAACGCAATGGCTCTTTCGTCTAAATTTATATTTCTATAACTATTCGTAAATAAAATCGAATAATTCAAGCAAGTGTGCAATTCGAAATTGACCTTCTAACGATCTGTTGGAGACATCAGCACGTACCACCCGCCAAAACAGCTTCGAGCTTATGTTGTGCAAATAGTTATCGTTTTGTCTTTCTCTCTCTTTCTCTAACATACAGGTTTTTATATATTCTGTCTCGTACATCGCCAATCTATATACTTTATAATCTAAGGTTTTTCTCTATAGTTCTCTATAATTTTATATTTATCGTTAATTTATATCTTTGTTTAATCAATATTTGTAGGTAATTGATTGATAAAAATAAATAAAATAAAAAAAATCTATTAAGTACAATACAGTCTATAAAATTGCATTTGTTGGTTGGCAATGCTGACTACCGTAATGACAGCTACAAATTATGAGAACAGGCATTACACAGATTACGTATTATTGTTATAATAACTTACTCTATACCTTAACATGGACAAAAACAAACCCATAGACATCCAATAATAACAGCGGTCGTCAACTTTTATGTAATATAGTTAATAGCAATAATAATAATAATTGATTCAAGCAAGATGCATTAGATGCAATTATAAGATAAATCTTGTAATTGCATGTGTATATCATTACATATTGATTTACAGATACCGATAGCGCAGGTGGGGTTACCAGTATATATGTATCTGGCCTTCATGCTAGGAAAATTCTGTGTTATGAAGGTGAGACTACCGTACTTCACATAATAAATTTTCTTATATAAATTTATGGAATTACAAAAAATATATAAATGAAGGTTAAACTGCAAAGTATAAACAAGTCGACTTCCACGCGTTTTCTCTGGATATAATCATGATTAAATCTTGTAAAATTCGTCATGATGGGCTAACTGACTTGTTTTCATCCTCACTTATCATCCTTCACTGATGCCCCGCAAGCGTATACCAATAGCGCAAGCGGGTTTACCATTCCATTTACATTTATTAAAAAAGAAACTGTTCTTTTCCTCAGTGGCAATTGATCGTCATTTTTTATAACTATTTCTGCCAGCGTTATATAAGAGGCTTATTGAAAATTATAATTTTTCTACAAATAATATTCAAAGCATACTCAGACATAACAAACGATTACGCTTTGTCACATCGCATATTTATATACATATACTCAACTACAACCGTAACCGCCATTTCATTTTTCTTGAAATAAAAAACTGCGCTGCATTTGACACGCCACTTTAAACAAAGAACCATTTGTATGAAATCTGGGTAATCACTACTATCAGTTACTATCCTCAATGTATGTATTGAGGATAGTGCCTCCGATTCATAATCAAAAGTACCTACGATCGATAAAGTTGTGCACTGAGTATTTTATTTATTTTATTATGTTGACCCTTTTAAGTGGTTGCATAGATTTATCTTCCAGTTTTGTAAATATAAGGGCAGTGTCCGCTCTTAATAACTTTTTAATTTGTTATTCTTTTGTATCATTCATATATCATCATCTTTGTTTAATTTATTATTATTGATGAAATTAAAATAAAGGGAGAAATCTATATAGTATATTATATTTTATTTAACTTTAGATTGAGAGTAACAGTAAAAGGTAACCTAGCAACGCGTGAGCTCCACAGACTAACATAACACATAAAACCTACTTCAACACCCCCACTGGAGTCCCATGCGTTGCACACAAAAACTGTGTTTAATAGCACCAAGGGATTTAGTCAGAACATCAGCAGGCATAGAGCCTGTATCACAATATTCAACTTTAATGTCCTTACCTTCGGCTAACTCTCTAACATAATGAAACTTAATATTTATGTGTTTAGACCGTTTACCAATTACCGGGGAATATGTCAATGATCTGGCACTTTGACTGTCACTAAAAATAGTTACACATCCTACATGACCAGTTAACTCTCCATATAGACCTTTAATAAACATAACGTCTTTAGCTGCTTCACAGATCGCAATGTATTCAGCCTCTGCAGTACTTAGTGCTACACACCGTTGTTTACAAGCCTGCCATGAAATTGTCCCACCTGCATAAATTAACGTGTAGCCAGTAAACGAATGTCCATCAGCATTAGCACCCCAGTCAGCATCTGCATAGGCAACTAACTCAGTCTTGCTTTTCTTGAAAGTGAGCCTCGCATCTATAGTACCCTTAAGATACCTTAATAGTCTTTTTACGGCAGACATGTGTGATGATCCAGCACAAGAACAAAATTGACTTAAGTAGCTCACCGCAAAACTAATATCTGGTCTTGTAGCACATGACAGATACATTAAGGAACCTATGATTTCTTGATAGTTGGCAATCTCGTTGGTTTCCCCTTTTTCCAACTTCAAGCCGCACTCCATAGGAGTCTTCAGAGACTTGCAATCCCGCATTCCAAATTTACTCAAAATCTTTTGTGTGTAATGGCTTTGATCTAAACTAATTTCACCTTTATCCAGATTTCGCGTAATTCGCATTCCAAGACAGTCTTTGGCTTCTCCTAAATCTTTAATCTTAAAAGCTTTTCCAATTTTGTCTTTAACTGATTGTATTTGTTTTAAATCAGTTCCAAAAATATAGAAATCATCTACATAAAGACCTATCGCTATAAAATATTTGCTTGATCGCTTCAAATATACGCAAGGATCATATTTAGACCTTTCAAAACCAATATCAACAATGCAAGAATGAATCTTCTCATTCCAACATCGCGCAGCCTGTTTTAATCCATAAATAGCCTTTTTTAACTTACATACTTTAATAGGGTTTTGAACGAATGATTCTGGCTGTTCCATATATATATCTTCACTAAGATCTCCATGAAGAAAAGCCGTTGTTACGTCTATATGATGAATTTTTAGATCCATTTCAGCTGCCAAGGCTATCAATAGTCTCATAGAAGATAATTTCACTACTGGAGCAAAAGTCTCGAAATAATCTTTACCCCACTTTTGCGAAAAACCTTTTGCCACAAGCCTCGCTTTGTAACGTTGAATCGAGCCATCAGTATTTGTCTTAAGTTTAAAAACCCATTTACATTTAACAACATTTGCATCTCTAGGTCGATCAACTAGTTCCCATGTATGATTTGCTATCAAAGAACTGTATTCGTCTTCCATGGCTTTTCGCCACAGCTCTCTATCTGAACGTTGTTCAGCATCTTGTACAGACACAGGGTCAGCACCATCAGACATATAAAAGTTATAGACCATATCTGGATCTCTAATCAAACGTCTATCTCTTAATGGATACCTTCTTTCTTGAGTCACTAGCTCTTGTATACCATTTCGATCATTTATACCTCTTTCAGCTGATTCTGTAGAGTCAACCATAATTTCACCTGGTTCAGTACAAATAGAATCATGAAATACTTCATCCACGTCTGTTGTGCTTGAAACATCTTGGCGTACAGGTTCTGTGTGTAGTTGTTGTGTGACCTTCGTAATATCAATAGGCACATTTATATTCTCAAGATTTCGAAGTCTTTTACTTTCACATGGAACCACCACTACATCTGATGTTATTGGACCAAATTTAAAAGAATTATTATTTTCTCGATCTATATAACTCTCTGTTATTATTTCATTAAAAATCGCATCACGAGCAACTATAAATCGCTTTGGGTTGGCCAAGTTTACGAATTTATAACCCATATCACTATATCCAATCATTGTCATCTCTACTGTCTTTGAATCCATCTTCTTTCTACTACCATCTTTTATAAGAACTTGTGCAGATGATCCAAATACTCTAAGATGAGAGAGATCTACTTTCTTACCTGTCCAAACTTCTTCAGGAACTTTATTTGAAAGAGCCATAGTGGGTGATCTGTTCTTTAAATATATAGCACAATTCAAAGCTTCACCCCAAAATCTCTGATCAAGATTATTATCATGTAACATGCACCTAGCCTTTTCAACTATCGTCCTATTGGTTCGTTCCGCTACACCGTTCTGTTCTGGTGTGTGAGGTACAGTTCTCTCGTGTTTAATACCGCGACGTTCTAAATAATTTTAAAATTCTTTATTTGTATATTCTGTACCATTGTCGCTACGAAGTCGCTTTATTTTCTTACCAGTCTGATTCTCGACAAAAGCAACAAATGAACAAAATTTAGAAAATACTTCAGTCTTAGACGATAACAGATACCCGAATACCTTTCTACTAAAATCATCTACTAGAACTAGACAATATTTCGCTCCTCCCCAGGACGGATCAAGAGGACCGATTAGATCAGTATGTACTAATTCTAAAATATCACGTGCACGCTTATGTTTCCTTTTATTAAACTTCTTTCTCTGTCCCTTTCCTTGACAACAAGCTACACAAAAATGCTTTGATGGTTTTCCCTTTAGAGATAAGCCTGTTACCATCTTTTGTTGCATTTTCATTTGAGGATATGACAGGTGGCCTAATCTCCTATGCCACAATACTAAATTATTATCATTTATATCAGCTTCACCAAAACTAACAAAATTGCTAGCTGCAGCCGTAAATGATGTTGAAACATCACAATCCTTACGTGTCTTTATTTGCTCAGGTCCTAGAATATATAACCCCTTCTTTAAACTCGCTTGAATTAAAGGAACTCCTGATATGGAAACACTATTATTATCATAAAACGTGCAGTAATTTTTGTCAAATACTACCGTATAATTATTCTCTGTCATTTTGCTTACCGACAATATATTAGTAACGAGATTGGGTACACATAAAACGTTTTCAAAATCTACCTTAGTGTTACGATTTTCATGATTCAATTTTGCCTTGATCTTTCCTTGACTTTCGGAAATTATTTTATGATCATCAGCAGTTGTTATAACCTTCGAAATATGTTTCGGTTGGTCAAGGAGAGATTTAATTGAGGTCATGTGAGATGTAGCACCAGAATCGACAACCCACATATTACTAAATTTGTTAGCCGAAGGTAAGGACATCTCATTATTACCCATAACAATATCAGTAACTAAACCTACTTTGTTACTATCTACTACCAACATCTCATTATTACCCATAACAATATCAGTAGATGATGTATACAGTGATCATGTACCAGTAACTGAAGGTACGGCACAAGGATCTGTATTAGGTCCGCTACATTTTTTGTCTTATGTTAATAATATGCATAATATCTTGAAACACAGTTCATGTTACCAATTTGCAGATGATACGTGTCTAGTATTGTCTGACAAAAATATTCAAAAAGCACGAGACCTTCTACAATCTGATGTCAATGTCCTTCTTGAATGGTGTCATGATGCCGGATTGGTATTAAATCCAATTAAAACACAACTTTTGATCATAAAATCACCCTATTTAAAATTTCGTCCTCTATATAAACCTATCATTGCTCACAACCACAAGTGTCTACATATAACTAATGAAAGGAACTTTTGCAGCTGCCCCGCTATAACGGTCAAGGACAGCCAAACATATCTTGGCTTAACTATAGATAGTAAGTTTAATTGGAGTAAACACATCGAAAAAATTTGTAACAAATTAAGACAATTTTTAGCTAATATAGTCATCCTTAGACACCGAATTCCCTTTAAAGTAAAACTGATGCTGTATAATTCATTGGTCGAATCTTATGTTCAATATGGGTTGTCAAGTTATGGCCGCACTTATAAAACATATTTAAATGATATTTTTAAACTTCAACGTAGAATTTTAAGAACTATTGTATCTCCCAAAATTAAGATGCAGTATTATGACGATGATACTGGACTTTTTCGACATTGCAATATTTTACCTGTACATCTACAATTTAAATACACATTTCTTAAGGAAAACTTTTTTAACAATAAATATTGGAACGAAATTAATCATGCTGTATATACGAGGGCGGTCGCACGGAAGCAACTTTGTACCAATAGCGCTCGCGTAAATAACTGTTATGGTGAGCGTACGGCTGACTACCTGGTTCCTCGATTTATTAATGAACTACCCACCGATGTACGAGATAATATTACTATTAGCAACATCAAGTGTAAATTAAAACGATACTTCTTGCATGGTTTTAATACAATCTAAATAATTTTAATGTATTTAGTATTAATATAAACCTACGTGGTTTCTAAATGCTAATGGAACATAAATTCTGTAACTTGTATTTTTATTGATAATAAAATAAAAAAAAAAAAAAAAAAAAAAAAAACTAAACCTACTTTGTTACTATCTACGTTACATTTGTTGATAAATTTTTTACATTGCCATTTAAAATGACCTTTTTTCTTACAAAAATGACAGATAATTTGTTTTTTACGAGGTTGATTACTACTATGATTATTAGAACTTGCACTACTATTAGACACTAGCACTGAGTTCTCCAAATTGTTGCCCGATGACTTCGACTGCTGCCGCTGTCCTTCTTTAAAAAGAGCAGAAATAACCGCTTCCGTAGTTATAGAACTAGCAGAATGTTCTAGTGCCATCACCAGTCCATTGTATGATTCTGGTAACCCTGCTAGCATAATTATAGCGACGAATTCATCATCAAGTTTCTGGTTTATAGATTGTAGCGCCTGTTGGGTTGCTTGCACTTCGTTGACGTATGCCTCTATTCCCGAAAAGTCATTCAACTTCATATTGAAAAGTTTCTTTAATAGCGTGAGGCGTCGTAATAAACCACTATCAGCGTATGCCTTCTTCAAAGCAAGCCAGGTCTCTCTTGCCGTTTTAGCATTTTTCACAAGTGGATATAGATATTCAGCTATCATTAAACAAATTTTTGACCTTGCTTTACCATCCAACTTGCTTTTCTCTGCATTATCCGGTATAAAATCTTCATTATTAACGCACTCCCACAAATCTAAGTCAATCAAAAACATTTGCATTGCGAATGCCCACGATCCATAATTGGATTGGCCGATTAACTTACTTATAGTTGGAGCCTGCATTATTTTACTATTTTAGGTTTGCTGGCCCATAACCTGATGAAATTAAAATAAAGGGAGAAATCTATATAGTATATTATATTTTATTTAACTTTAGATTGAGAGTAACAGTAAAAGGTAACCTAGCAACGCGTGAGCTCCACAGACTAACATAACACATAAAACCTACTTCAACAATTATGTATCCATTACTATCTGTGATAAGAATTAACAACTTTAGTCACAGTGTCATCTGTCAAAAGTGAGGTCTATTTTGATTACTAGACATTTATATGAAAGAAATCGCAAAATGTCAACTAATTTAATAAAACCCAAAACTCTGGTATGTACCTATATACCAGATTTATATATATGTTGTGCGTGGGTGTATGTGTGTCTGTAGACTAATTATTGTTATGATTTTTTCCGCGTCAAATACTACCAATAAATCATATAACTTTATTTTATATCCAAAAGCCAAATATATTCCTATTTTCCATATAATTTGAACTTTTCTACAAGCGATGTCCTGCATTACTATGTCTGAAGCCCGTATTTAAACCTAACTTATGTAAAATTACCGACGGTTACTATAATTAAACTAGGCATACATTACATTATTCATTCAAATTTGGCGCATTTTGTTTATAAAAGTTGGCCATCATGCAGATCCGACTGTAATTGGTTCCCGCGCTTTTGAACAAAAATTTGAGAAAGTGACTAAGAATAGGCATCAACTTATTTATCCTCCTACCAGTTTGGTTATCTGACGTTATAATAAAATAATACATTAAGATTATTTAGGTCCAATTAAACATTAGAAACAGGATTTAACAGTAATTCCTTTTTTGTAGTGAGCAATTGAATAGCTGTTCTACAATTTTTTTTTTATTTCAGAGTCTGATTTATTTCGTTCCATTCTCGTTAATTCAAAGACGAACAGTGTCCAAGATGAAGCAAAAATCAATGGATATTGACCAAAATCAACATGAAGAATATCAGTACCTAAACCTGATAAAGAAAATAATTGACTCTGGTAAGCAATAAACACCATTATAACTTTCTTTGTATCTTGATTTAAATTTTTTATGACTTATATATATATATATATATATATATATATATATATATATATATATATATATATATATATATATATATATATATATATATACATACACCTACCAATTATTATAAATAGTTATCACAAAAATGTATTCCTCTTGTTGTTTGAAATCCACAATTAGTACCTACTTTATATTTCAGGTGATAAAAGAGTTGATAGAACTGGTGTTGGAACTTTGTCCGTATTTGGTGCCATGCAGCGATATTCATTAAAAAATAACACACTGCCACTATTAACAACAAAAAGAGTATTTACTAAAGGAGTAATCTATGAGTTACTTTGGATGCTATCTGGATCTACTGATACCAAAGCTCTTGCCTCTAAAGGAGTACATATTTGGGATGCAAATGGATCTAGAGCTTTCCTGGATAATCTAGGCTTTCATGACAGAGATGAAGGTATTGTTTTATATAATATTGGAATTAAAGTTAATCAACATTTTTCAGCCCATGTGAATTTGTGGTTAATGTTTCATTCATTTTTATGTTCCATTCATCTCTATTTACTGTCATCTTACCATTTACCATTTTCCATGTCTTTAGTTAAATCCTTCTAAATCCATACTTAATACTTCAATTACTACTTTTTTATTATAATAAAAATAGAATACTAATTATATATTTTTAAACAAGCCTGTATTCTATTATTGGTATTGCATTTTTTTAATCAGGCAAGTACTGCAATAGTTTAATATATTGTTCTTTTTTTTATACTAAGAATGGCAAACAAGCTGCTGGCCCACCTGATGGAAAGTGGTAACCGTCGCCTATAGACATGAGCAGTACCATGGACATAACAGATTATACTGTTTCACCCATGATACCCCCCATGCGTTGCCATTCCTGAGGACTCTGGTGTTATGCCTCTGTACCCAGTTAATTTACGCCATATCCCACTCTTCAAACCAAAATACAGCCATGCAAACACAACTGCTTCATGGTAGAAACACAAATGGGACAGAGGTACCCAAGCAATTTACTTCTGTACAAAGTCTCAAAAATTGTTCAACAACATATGACTTGAATCATCATATCTAAACACAAAAACAACAATAAAGTCTGTACAGCCTCTTTTAAGGCACTTAAAAAGTAAATACATAAGTAAATAGTCACATATTAATTTTTAGGTGATCTGGGACCAGTTTATGGATTTCAGTGGAGGCACAGTGGTGCTGAATATGTAGATGCTAAATCTGATTACAATGGAAAAGGAATTGACCAAATACAAAATGTTATAAACACTATCAAGTAACTATTTAATTTTTACTTCTATCATTATTTAACTTAATATTTCTGCTAAATATGTACATTGATAATATATTTTTTAAAGGAATAACCCAGCGGACCGTCGGATGATAGTATGTGCATGGAACCCAACAGATCTGAAAAAAATGGCTCTACCACCATGTCATTGTCTTGCTCAATTCCATGTAGCCAGTGGAAAATTAAATTGTCTATTGTATCAAAGAAGTGCTGATATGGGACTTGGTGTACCTTTTAATATTGCCAGTTATGCATTGTTAACACATATGATAGCTCATATTACAGGACTTGAGGTAATTATATAGTCATACAAGTAGAATAGATTTGACTTCTACTCTACATAATAAGATATATTCAGGAAATATAAATGTAAAGGTTTCATAATAGTGACTCCAAATAGGAAAAAGTAATATAAGATAACCATTCCCATTATGAATGACAATTTCATGTTTTATAAGAAATTGGTTCCCATGCCTCAAGCCCTCAAAACATTTCTTATGAAAGTATGTGGTGTTGTGGGTGATCATAGGTGGTGGTAGTCACTTACCATCAGGTGAGCCGCATGGTCGTTTGCCCCCCTGTGTTGTAAAAAAATGTTCAGCAGGAAAGAGCTGAAATGATAATATAAAAATATGAATGAATGTTAATGACATCTGTGGTCTCTATCTACTTCAAAATAAAAAGATATGAATGATTTATTTATAACAGCTATATATTTTAGATATGCTTAACATTATTTAAATAGAAAACATTTAATTTAAAAATTGTGATATTTAAATTAAAGCAATCTGTGATATTATAAAAACTGAATATGATTTACATAATGTAATATATAATTATTCTTATAATTTACTTAGTACTTGCTAAGTAAACTTTTCCCTACTATAATGTTTTTTGTTACAGGCTGGAGAATTTGTACATACAACAGGTGACACTCATGTATATCTAAATCACATAGAACCACTTACAGAGCAATTAAAAAGAGAACCCAGACCATTCCCTACATTGAAATTTGCTCGTAAAGTAGAATCGATTGATGATTTTAAATTTGAAGATTTTATAATTGAGGGATATAAGCCTCACCCTAAGATTGAAATGGAAATGGCTGTGTAAAATTATCAGTGTTATCTAAATATGTATATAATGATAATTTATTAAGTATGTGTAGTTATAATTCATAAATTTTACCTAATAACTTTTATTATAATTTAATTTAATTTTCTATTCGTGTTAAGATGTAATAAAATTAGTAATATAATTAATAAGTATTTTGATTATCATATCAGGTATTAACTGCCCACTGTTGAACATGGGCCCCTTCATAGATTGATTCATAGAAGCCATCCGACTTCCTGCAAGGTATTTAAGACCGTCGCTCCATCTAGTGGAGTCGTCCTACACTGCGTTTGCCTAAACAAGGTCGCCACTCAAGAACTTTTCTTCCTCATCAGTTGTCGGTTCTTCAAGCTATGTGACCAGCCCATTGCCACTTCAGGTTGGTTATCATTCAGGCTCTTTCGGTCACTTTATTTTTCTGCGGATATTCTCATTTTGAATTCTATATTGCAAAGAAACTGCAAGTATAGCCCATAGCTTACCGTATAATAACCATGTATTTTACCTACTTGTAAATTGAAAATATCTGTATCTTAGATGAAAATGGTCGTATTGGAGTAAAAAAATGTGCACGCGTACACACGTGTATAATAGAAGCATTAATCCGATCGTGCCACCTCTACGTCCACGTAGTATGCTTTGAGTAACGCTAATGCCAGCGGTTTTGCGAAACTTCTGAAGAAAAAAAAATTTACATTATATTTTTTCTATTCCTAACGCTTTCTACAATACGAATTAAAAAAACTCGCATTTTTTTTTTTCAGATTATAAGCATTTAAGGCGTAAAACGTGGTCCTTTAATTTTTTTTTTTAATTTATTGAATAAAACTAAAAACTGCCTAATGAATTAATACTCTGCAAAATTTTTAGGGGTACAATGATCTATAAAAGGCACATTTACATTAGTTATTTTCCCGATATTCTCAATGTGGCACGTGATTTTCTAGAAGACCCTTAAAAAAGTCCTATTTTTTACGATTTTACAAAGTAATGTTAAGGATTTTTATTCCAAAAAATCTATACCTTGTAGAGAATTAATTCAAGTTTCTAAAACCTACCATCGATTTTCTATGATAATATATTTCTTTTTTTTTATTTCTGAGATATCGATGAACAAAGAGAAAATGATCCATTTTCATTTAAAGTCCGATAGCTAAGCGAGAGACGAGAAATGGTCGTATCGAGATAAAAATAAAATAAAATGGAAGCTAAATAAATAACCTTTTCGATCCATTAGGTGGTTAAGTTGGAAGAATTATTTTTCAAGTCCATACACCAAAAATCGAAATGGATCGAAAAAATTTCATTAAATTTTTTCATGATATTCATTAAGATTGCGCGATAAGTGTTAATTGGAAAATTTATTTTTTACAAGATCAAAAAATTAGAAACTTCAAGCTTTATGTTGCTTTTTTTTTTACTCCAATTTTTGTCAAAGATACAGTCAATTTGAAAAATCGCCCGAAAATTTCGTTTTTATCACTTAAATTTTTCCGGTAGTGTATATCATTTTAATAAAACCTAACGTAACTGAATAATTTGGTTAGCTTCTGAAAACAAAAGACGAGTCAGTTTAAAAACTTTATTTAAATTAAATGCTTTATGTTTTCAAATATAAATTCCCATGTACACTTACCTAAATGGAATCCATATTCATGCAAATATAATGTAAAGTAATATTAGATATTTCGTAAAAAAAATTAACAATATCTAACAAATTTATATTTTTTTCTTAAATCTAAATCAACATTCTAAATAGTGTATATCTAATGAATTTGTACATCACTTTCTCTTATTGATAATATTTCAATATAATTTATGTAAAGCATGAATCAAAAGCCCCGATAAAAAGTCACTCGTTTCTGTATTGAAGTTTTTAATGTAAACTTCACTGTTATTAACACATAGTATCGTATGTTTTTAAATACGTCATCGATACAAAAACTGTGTTGTACGTTAGTTTTTCTTCATATAGACTTTGTTTTCATATGTAGACTGTGATCCATAGTTTTACATTTATTTAGACATGAAAGTTGTAAGTAGAATTTTATTTTAGAAAGCTTTTTAAAACCACTAAAAACAATGTGAGCATAGATTTATTAGATTAAAACTACAGAATATAATATGTTGAAAAATAAATTTGCTAAATCTATATAAATAAATCCCAAATGGTTAAATTGTAATAAAACTCGTAAAAATTATAATAAACCTGTAGTCAATGGTTTTTGTGACAAATATATCAACACATTTGGTCGTCTTGTGATGGCATCTGAAAATGATAAAACATCAATATTATATTATTATGAAAAATAAGTATATTTAATGCCACTCGATCAGAAATTACAGTAATTTGTCACGGGCTCACGTACTTTGCGAAATGCAATTTGCAAAGACATGGTAGTTTAATCTACAGAAGACAAGATATCCTCTTTATAATTTGCGGAAACTTTCCTTGGAGTTTACAATAAGGGGCATAATATTGAAACCAATAAAAATGAAATTTCGCTTATAGCTCCATCGAAGTGGCTAAGAATAGCTAAACTAATAAGTAACAGAAAGAGATGATAAACAATGGCGAGTTGTCTATTAGTTAGTCTTTTGGAAAATGCAACAACTCCTTGACTCGTATGAGGAAAGAGAATTCAAGAAGTTATCGCACTCTCGTACGCTAAGCGCCATAAGTCTATAAAAGTCTCAGATGAAGTCGAAACAATCGTCGAATACGACAAACATGGTCAGTTCATAAAATGTATTATATGTAATGCATGTATGTAGACATCATTAAAAAAAGAAAATGTTTGTCGTTAAAAATATAAAATAAGGTTGCTGTTAAATTATTGTATTATATTTAATGTAAATGTAAATAAAAATGAAATGTAAATTAACAGATATCACAACTATTATATAAGTTTCTTATTAATAATACCTGAGAAGTGGAATCTTCCAATCTACTACTAGGGACGGGCAAGGCAGCAAGTTGCTCAACAAGAGCCATTGTCATCTCTGACTCAACATTAATTTCAACCCATAATGTATCTGAAAATAAAAAAAAACAAGAGGCATTAACATCATCGTATGTATCAACTGTTAACTGTCCACTGCTGAACATAAGCCTCCCTATAAGAGGAGTTTTGCCAGTACTTGCCATGCTTGGCAGACGGGTTGGCAACTGCAGTATATTTTAAGAACACTGCTGTCAATCCCTCAACTATTAAATTCCTTTAATCGCCTCTTACCACGGCCACGGGAAAGGAAGGGGTGGCCCATTCTATGCTAGAATCACACGACAGAGGTTAAAAGGGATATTCATCTAACAACTGGTCTGGTAAATAGTTATTTTAATACATTTATATATTTACAGTTTTCTTTTTAAATGCACGCCTACAACTTTAGGAGTAACTATCCTTAAGCTTTGTTTATTATTACTGCAAATGCTGTTTTCAAGGAAAACTGCACTCTTGAACTGAAATGGCAAATCGATCGGAATTGCCGGAATACGGGGAATTAAAACATTTTCATTTTTACTATTCCAGTCATGATTATAGCTTAGCCTATTTATATGTAGATCTGAATATACAATATTTTTCAAATCATATAATATACTTCTGACGATTGAAATAAAAAACGACCTACCGAAAGCAAAAATTTATTAACTTGCAAAAAACCGAACAAAAATTTATATACTTTTTTGACGAAGAACATTAAATAAAGAAAAAATCCTGGAAACATATTATTTGTTGCAGCAGAAAAATTTTAATATTTGCATATGTCCGACACAATCGTCTACCGTCACATGTCTGTCTGTTTGGGTAGCCACACTTAAGGCGTAAGACGCTTGGCGAGTCCTCTGAATGCGATATTCAACCACTATTTCAACCTCTTCAATCCTATTTTCGGGATAAAAGGTATGCTCTTTTCCAAGCTCTAGATTATCTCTGTACCAAATTTCATCAAAATCAATTCAGTGGTTTAGCCGTGAAAACGTAACAGACAGTTACTTTCGGATTTATAATATTATTATATTAATAGGGATTTATGATGAACAAAATGTTAATCTCTATTTACAGGGCCGATTTCGGCATGAATGATTTTTTTTATCCATCAAAATATGTATATACTTACCCCCTATCTGGTCACCTTTATCTGTTACCAAATGGAAATAGCCTCTATGGGTTCCCGGATTATTTGGTGCTACTAATTTCATTGTGACTGTAGTAGATTGTCCCGGAGGTAAAGGAGGCACATAAAATGGTGGTGCACCAAACTGTTCACCACCTGCTTGTATTATTCTACAGCTGCCTGGCCATGCTTCTGCTCCTGTATTTGCAATATTCCAATAATGTTCAAAACTGAAAATAATACATTATATTTCTATTAATCCTCTTCAGAATCGCAAATAACCTAGTGACCCACTTATTAGAAAAGGGCCTATGATTAGTGATTTGTAACTTTATATGATTGATGAATTATGATTATATGATGAATGATTTGTAACTTGACTTAGTCACTGAAAAGCATAAAAAGTAGCCTTCTTTCTGCATCCCATATAGCATATGTATACCAAATTTTATAGTGATTGGTTAAACTGGTAAAACATTAAAAAGTAACAAATTCACTTTAACATTTATAATATTAATAAGAGTGTGAGCTAAGAAATTTTCTGAAATTTCTATGTATGGTAATAATAAGCTACATGTAATTCACCTGCTACCAGGACCTATGGAAGTTTCTTGACTTTGAGCTGCTTTTAATGACATTGATGGAAGCTTTGGTGGCAATGTGTAGTCTAAATAACAGCAAATAGCAGCTTGTAAATTCCTGTAAAAATAATAATAACAAAGACACCTAAAGTTGTTACACTTTCAATTAATTTATAAAAAAAAAATATCCAAAAATTTGATTCATGGTGAAAGGTGAGTTTTCTGCCTTTGAAATTATCATTTCATACAAATTGTGATTATATACCACTGAAATAATAAATTAATCTATTAGAGATTGATTTTAAGTGACATAATCATGAAGCATTTAATATTATCATGTCACTTATCTATCCTCCACACAAAAGATCCATCACAAGTTTCTACCACGAATCTGCCAAATTTATACTGTGGTGCTCACTGTTCCAGATACCTTTTAAATTACTGTATACCAAAGCATAACATTTCAGTTCTCAGGAATGGCAACATACATATGAAAGATAACATGGGCATCACAAATATGATCTGACCATGATGCAGTTTGGTAGGGCACTCCTAGCTATAACTTTTCTATCTGGTGTATGGAACAAAAATGTGTTACTGTGTGCTAATACATTTGTTGCATAACTCGAATTTGCAGCATTGTTTTCATTAATGTAAATCATTAATTTATTTATGTAGGTAATAAACCCACTTATCCATAACCTCTAATTGAAATTTGGTAATTTCAAAAATTGGTGACAGTGGGTGTAGCGAGCTAGCCTAGAGCCGATTGCTCCACAGGTTAATAGACTTGTAGCCACTGTACCCAAATTAACTCACCAATATTTGGATCATTTTAGACTTACAATATTTAGCAAAGGTTTTATTATTTATAATAACATAATTATTAGTAATAACACAAATAATAATCAAATAATAAATAAATAAATAAAATTGTTTATTACCCACATATTACAATAATTGGAAAAAAATATTTACCTCTGCATTCCATATTTTAAGAAAGTACAGTCCATTAAAATAAGGTTTACAATTTTTATACAAAATAACCTGTGTATATTCAGTCAAAATATTAACGGCAATGTAACAAAATTGTAATTATAGTATTTTTTATCACCTATCCGCAATAACTAAGTATTCCCAAATTGGCACGGCGGTCAAGAATGGCTTTATAGATAAGCACTATACTAACAGATAAACCACGAAAATACGTATTAGATACTAACATAAATGGAAACTCGAGTCCCACTTACACTAAATACAATTTCTTACTCACCAATTACTCATATCCAAGAAGAAGGTAGCTGTGTTATGGTTTAAACTAGGTCCTAAGAGTCTTTGCATTTGGCTTACAAGTTCCTCTCTATCAGTAGTGTTCATACAACTAAATTGTAAAAGAAGATTTTGATCGATTTCACCAGGAATAGATGATCCATCGATATCCATAATGATAGTTTTAATAAAAAATAACAAAGCACTACACCAAAAATATTTCACAACATGTACAAAATTGACATGCTTTGTTTACGTTCGTCAGCTGACTTCTAACATACAACACTTTATTCTAATAAGATTAAAAATGTATAAAAAGTCAAATAAATATATTAAAATTTAAATTATGATTAACGATACTTAAGGAAAAACCATATAAATAGCATATTTTGGAGAAATAGCACAAACTTCTGACGATTTGGTTAAATCATTTCATCCACAGATCAGGATCAGTCAGATTGCAAAAGCACAGACAAAGTAATCCCTGAGCTACTTAAGAATTAGCATTGCCCATACATTGAAGAAATTGAAAAATAAACCTATGTAACCACTTAAAAATATTAACGTAAAAGAAATAAAAATAAATTAATATTCTACTATTGACATCATGCGTATATCTAGAATATCATCAGTAGGTCGAAGATTTTCTGTAAAATTTTTAATTAAAATAAGCTGATTGCGTAGATTCCAACCAGTGGTTTATTTTTCAAATGTCTATCATTTTTTATCATAGATTATGTTGTTGATTTCCTAACAGCCTTTATAACTATATATTTTTTATTAATATTGTTTTAAATTCTATTTTATCACATTCTTATTAAATATTCAAAGAGAACAGATTATATTAATTTCTGGGGTCCAAAATTTAAATACATATTCTTAATAATAGTCCGCTTAGCAGAATAGCACAGATATTATACTATTCCATGTATTCCAATTATCAGACATTAAAAAATATTCTGTTTGTTAGTGACATAATAGCAACACTAGTCTCATGCCAAAATAAAAAAAAACTCAACATACAACACACTTTAATTTTCTATATAGTTAATTTTAATTCTCTTATTTTCTTTCCTTTATATCTGTTCATTAACATATTTTCTAAATGGAATAATTAGTTATTTAAAGCAGTAGAAGTTTTAGGTGAAGCGAACCAATTTTATTCTTAAGCTTCAATTTAATTATGAAGTTAAATTATTTAATTTATTGAGAAAACTACTAAAAATGGAAAATCAACCAAAGAAATTTCATCATTGTACACATGAAGGGTGTAAGGCAGCATTCAACAGACCCTATCGACTTGTACAACATTTACTCGTTCACAACAATATAGTAAGTAACATAACCATTATTTATCTTACCTCGCGGTTGATATGTAGTAGTGATGAATATTATATGAACTACAAATAAAATATTATGTAAAAGCAATTATTATACTTTAATTCTTTAGTTACCTATATATTATTGAATAAGATATTGTATTATTTTACATGTTTTAATTATTCTTATCTATTATTATAAAATATGTAACATGTTTTTTGAAATTACATTATTATGTCTAAAATTATTAAATGATAATTGTAGATATTTAATATTAAAAATATATGAAATTACTATTCTGTTACAATTTTGTAACTTAACTACATTCTTTATACACTTTAATTCTTTAGTACTACCACCATAGTCTTTAAAAAGTAACTCCATAATCATATTTTTAATTTGGGCTTATGATTAGATTTTTCATAATTTATGATAGTTGTCATGTGAAAAATTTTGCTAATCTTTATTTAAAATCAATAAATTAAATTTTACAATTCTTATTTTCAGTAAACATTTAATTGTGTTAAAGATATAAGTAGTATATGACAACATTGAAATGAGAATCAACAAGACTATATATAGAAATATATAGAATTTTATTAAATGTATTTTTCTCTTTACCTGTTCTAGAGAATTTATGTGTGTGAAGAGAGCAACTGTTCTAAGTCATATACAAGTAGAAGTCATTTAGATCGTCACATAAATAATGTTCATAAAAGCCCAGAAAAAGATATGTTGTACAGGTAAATATTATAATTTACATCTATACTTATAATAAATCTGTAAAAAGGTCAATTCTGTACATGAAATATATTTCCAAAATAACTATCAGGGGGTGATTAGTGATCGATACTGATGCCAAAAATGCAATCAGTGTCTATATCGTATAATTTGTCTGTATGTTCATTATAGAAACAAAAACTACTCGACGGATTTTAACGAAACTTGGTACAATTATTCTTGATACTTCTGGGCAGGTTATAGTATACTTTTCATCACGCTACAATCAATAGGAGCAGAGCAGTGAAGGGAAATGTTGGGAAAATGGGAGAAGTTACTCCATTTTTAAGCCGTCGCGTGTGCACCTTAATGGCCACTTTTTAAAATGTAAAAATGTCAACTGTGCGAAGCCGGGACGGGCCGCTAGTAAATAATATATTTTTTGTAAAATTTTGGTATATCATATTAAACATAATGAAAATTAATATTGAATGTGATAATAAAAAAAACTAGTGCAACAGTCTAACATACCACATTATTTACCAACGGTTGCTGGTTTGATTCCTATAAGATACAAACAACACTATAATATGATTAATAAATTAATAGAATTATAAAAAAAAAAAATATTGTCTAGTTCTTATAATATACACTCTGTTTATTCATTACTGTATTGCCTTTACCTATTTATTTGGGATCTGCATAATATGTCATCTTTCATATAGATGTCCATCTACCTTCCCTTCAGTCTTTCATATTTAACACTTCCTTTAAAATATGGCTTACATTTCTGTGCATGACATAACCATACCATACATACCATACATTCTATTACTTTGCAACTTCACCATTATTATACACTCTGATATCTGATGATACAATAAGAAATAGATTTATTATATAATAAGGAAAATGTAAATATATAATACTTCTAATAATTTAATATTAATAGCCTTTGTAGGTAACACAATAAATTACATTTACATTTTGTTTAGATATTATATAGTAACATTTTTCTTTGCTTCCATTCTTACATCCTAATAGCTCAACTCCTCTAAATTTTTCCATCCATTTCTATTTTTGACCATTTGAGTTATCTTTTATGGTTGTCACATAATACTACAAATATTATTTCAGTTGTCCAACATGTTTCAAGAATTATGCAAACCGCCAAAATTTGAAGAGACATATAAAGATACATCATAAATTGAAGGTTCCATTTACTTGTGATGTTTGCAAGGCAGAATTTAGAAAGAAAAACCAGTTGAGTGCTCATATGTACGTACACACTGGTTTGAAATCGTTTAGGTAAATATGGAAGAGAAAAGGAATGAGAGTATTTTTGAAAGTATTCATTTACATACTTAATATAATTATAAAGGAGATTTTGACCTATTTTCTTAATTTATTGATTTTTTCAGCTGTGACGTGTGCTCTAAAGATTTTGTGAGCCTCTATGAGAAAAAAAAGCATTTAAGACATCATAAAACATACAATTGCAATGAATGTCAAATGAGGTTTAATACTTGGTCTAAGTATCAAAAACACAAAAAAACTGACCATGCTAATAAAGGTATGACCTTATTTCTGATTTTTTCAAATATTAACTAGACAACACACAGACTTTAGACGTCAAATTTTAAGATTCTCTGCTATTTCTGAATACAATTTAAAGCATGCCATTCTTGTAGCATGCACACTTAAATGGATGAGTAACGAAACCAACATCAAACAAATTTGACTACAACATATGTGGTGTTTTTAAATGTATGATTAACTTTATATACAAAACTTGTCTAAATAGTGGTACATCAAATCGGTAACCTTCCCTTAAATGATGGGAACAAAATTAAATAACCAACCAATTGTAATGTCTTATGTCATATATTTCAAGCAATAATATATTTATTGCTGATTGTGGAGTAGTATAAAATAAAACTGATAAAAAAATAGTCCTACTGTCTTATTCTTTCCATGTGAGTGCTGACCAAAACGATTATACTGATACATTCATTTATACCTTGTCTAGTGGGGCAAAATAGATAGGACTAATTTTAAAACATTGTGTGCATTATTTACATCTTTATTTCAGAGTTTATTTGTCATGATTGTGGCAGAAGTTTTAAACAAAGAAGTCATATAGTGCGACATGTAAAAATTCATACAAAAACAATATTTGAACCAAAGAAGTTCTTGTGTCCATATGACAATTGTCAAAGGTAATATTGTTAAAAATATTAGATACATCTAAATTTATTTAATACCTTAGTAAGAATAAGTTGTATTATTACAAAATTCAAGAACTATTTAAAAATTTAATTATATATAATTGCACTTTTTTGTATTTATTATAAGCGTCAATTTCAAATGATTTAATTTGATTAAACTATTTCAATCTTTATTTATAATTATTCTATTAACAGGTGGTATACGAGAAATAGTAATTTAAAGCAGCATATCTTGATAAAACATTTAAGATTTACACATAATTGTCACATCTGTAAAGCACAGTTATCAACAAAGGTATGTATTTAATCTACAGAGGATGTGATAAACTAATAATAGAAAAAGCTCTTTCACTCAAGCATCACTTTACCAAAGTGCAAGAAACTGATGTTGATCCCTGCAGGAGATGTTATCAGTCTGTCAATAACACCAAATAGCATTTTAAGGACAGTCTAACCAGCTTGCACTTATACCATTGCTATTGATAAAGTGACATTGCTAAAGTTTTATTAGTGTGTATGTTTCACAAATAAGTTACTACCCTCAAGCTACTTTTATCTGTCAAAACAATTCAAAATTTTATAGCATAATGTACACCTGCAATTAAAATACCACATTCTCTCTATAGTGAAAAAGGCCATATTAATTTTTTTTTAACTCTGCATATAACCTACTAAAACCTTTTTATTAGAGGGAGACTTTATAAAAAAGTCATCTGCTTGGGTATCAATTTTTTCTTCTATTGTGAAGCAGTTATTTGTATGGCTGTATTTCAATTTAAAATATGGGATATGGCAATGAAATTAAAGGATACAGAGGTATAACTCCTTAGTCCTCGTGAATAGTGATGCATGAACACATACTCTGTTATATCCATGGTACTATTTGTGCATGTCTATATGCAACAGTTACTACTTTTCATCAGCTGGGTTATCAACTTATATAATAATTATATTTTTTCTGTTACAATCAGGCTAAATTGGATTACCATATAAAACTTCATAACCAACCTCCAAAAGTGAGACAACCAAGAACCAAAGCTACTGGACGTAAAGAGAGAAAAGATAAAGGTGTTCCAAAAGGATCAACAGCCTTGAAGTTAGCTGGAATGTCTAAAAATCCAGTAAATGAAGACAATAGTACTAATTCATTAATTCAAATTTGTATTGATGTTGAATGTGTTTATGGTTAGCAATAAACAATATAAGTATTTAATAATTAAGCAATAATTCTGACTTTCAATTTTTTAAAATAAACGTTATATATGTACATATATAGAAACAGAAGTTTTCTAACAATTACGACTAAGTAAAGACTAGATAGCCGTGATATCTAAAAATTACTATATTATCCCTAGAACGCTAAGAACCAAAAAAAACAGAAAATGCAAGACAGGTGCTATAATATTAATAATTGTATTATATTCGATTTTCGTGCCTTCTGGTTCCGGCACAGAATAGGCCACCCCTTCCTTTCCTGTGGGTGTTGTAAGAGGCGACTAAGGGTCCTTAATGGTAAAGAGATGAGCAGCAGCCTTCCTCTTAAAAAATCACTAAAAGCCTAACTGCAGTTGCCAACCTACGTACCAAACGTTGTAATTACTGACAAAACTCCCCTTTTGAGGAAGACTTATTTTCAGCAGTGGACAATAAACTGCTGAAATGATGATTAGACTCAAGTGAACACTGCAATTCACCTATGTGGTGTGGGAGAGGAAACTTTTCAGGCGTGTCAGGTACGGTGAGGTTTAGGGCATCCTGCGTTTATTATACTTTTATGTAATTAAAATATTAACCTTACTAATACTACTGAACGGTGCAGCTTGACCGTACGGTGAGCGTGGACTGTAGGGTGCTGGTTCAGGCTGGAGAGAAACGATAAGATTCCTTTCTTGAAGCTCCCGGTTCCGTTCTGAAGAGTTTCTCCTATTTCCTTTATTGGTTGGGGAGTGCATGCCGCTCGACGGTAGGCGGCCTATCTTTATACCCGCCCGGTCGCACGATAACATGTACTAACTCACATCGGTGAGTCTGTGCGAGCGGGACGGGGCGAGTGTGAGAGGGACGCGTGACTCTTCAGAGCGGCACCATTTGGCGTCTATTTATTTATTATAATTATCCTTATTACTAGTGTTGGATCGGCAAGCGAGTCAAGTACCTACAGCGAAGTCCAACAAGTGGCAGAACTGCAACAACAAAGCATCGAAAGCAGCGCAACGGAGATCCGCAGACCAACTCGGGTCTGCAACCCCAACGCAACGCCGCGACTTCAGCCACACCGCACGGATCCCTGCATCGCCTAAAACAAGAGTGAAGACGTCGTCTGGTGCGTTTGTTGATGCAAACGTACCAGACCACGGCCGGCTGCCAACAACACCGGGCGGCTGAGTACGAGCCCCGTTCAAGAGAGAAGCCCACCCGGGGGACAGGCGACCCCAGTGTGAGAGGATCACGGACGACCGCTCCACCCGAAGTCCACCTCGAGGAGGCCCCATGCCGCAGTAGGAGGGACGGAAGACCACTCAAGAAGAAAGAAGAAGAAGAAGATGTCAAGCCCGGCCAGGCGGCCGGATGAAAAAGGCCCTTATCAGGGCCGCAGTGTACCAACCGCGCAGGGGGGCAGTAACCCCCCCCCTGCAGCGCGCGCCCGCGCGCCGCGCCCGCGATCAGCGGAGTCCCCCCGCGTGAGGGGGAAAGACCGCTCGCGCTCCCGCGTCGCGATCCGCGCCCCAGGCGTGCCGAACGTCACGCCCCCCGCCACCCCTCAAGCCGCGACCGCGTCGTCGCGCGGCCACGCGAGTGATTCCGCCGCCCGCGCAGGAAGAAGCGGCGCCTCTACCCCGCGCGCCCCGCAGGCAGCGCCCGCCGCGACGCCCACAGTGTTCGTGGGACGCCCGGAAGCGTCATCCGGCCGACCAGTGCAACCATACGTCCAGCCGGATGGACGTTTTTCAGCGTCGGATTCGACGCCCGCCGCCGCCCAGCACCGCGGAGAGACCCGCGGACCGCTGGAGACGCCGCCGATCGCGAGCCCGGAGGACGCCGACACCGCAGGAGCGTCCGCGTCAGCCGCAAGAGCGAGAGGGACAGGCGCTTTGCCCTCCGCTTCACGTCTCGCACCGCCACCGGGTCCGGCAGGACTCTCCGGAAGCCGGAGCGGAGGTGCGCTGGCTAGTCTTTCGCCAAGATCAACCTTGGAGTGTGACTCCCTGATCTTGGCGCAAGTACTGGCCACGGACCTTCTCTCCCAGGGCATGAAGGAGAGAATTGCCGCCCTGGTGGGGGACGAGGCTACGAGGTTGGAGGGCCAGCCTACCCCGCCCGTCGAGGAAATGGAGCTGGCGAGGGACATGGGCAGATCGGTCCAGCTGACCACACGCCCAGCCCGAAGGCCTCGAAGCCCGGAGCAACCGGACGGCGGACACAAAAGGCCGTGCCAAGAGCCGTCCCCGCCGTTGCAACCCACCCCGTTGCCGCAGAGAGACCCCAGGCTCAGACACAGAGAGGCGGGAACAGCCAGTCTGAGCCAGTCTCAGTCTCAACACCCCCTACGGACGCAACCAGCTCCCACGTACGCGGACGCCATCAGAGCAACGACACCACCACCCAGCACGTCGGCGTCCAACACAAACACAAATGTGTATGCGAACGTCGGAACGAACGCAGCCGCCGCTCCTCCTCGCCCTGCAGCGGCCAAACAAAGGATTCCCCCACTAATAGTGGAGCAGCTGCCCGAGTGGACTCGCCACTTCAGAGCCCTAAAAATGAAGCTGAGCTACGCGCCAAACGCCCGCCCCTTCGGAAAGGGCGTAAGATTCTCTCCCAGGTCGGAAGATGAATACAGAGTAATCCAAAGATACCTTACCGACCTGGAGAAGAAGGAAAAAATCAGCTGGTTCAGCTATCAGCTACCGGCCGAACAAAGCTTGAAAGTGGCGATCAGGGGAATCCCAGCGGACACACCCGTAGAGGAGATCGTCGGCGCCTTGACGGAGCTCGGATATAGTCCAGAGTATGTCCGTCAAATAAAAGCCCGTCAAGGCCGCCCAGGGTGCATCTTTTTCGCCCAACTGAAACGCACCCCAGGCATCACCCCCGGCATCTACTCAGTGGATGAACTTTTATGCATGCCGGGGGTCAAAATTGAAGCGTGGAGGGGCAAGAAGGGCCCCTCGCAATGCCACAGATGCCAGACCTTCAGGCACTCCTCCTACGGGTGCCACAGAAAGCTGGCTTGTGTCCGCTGCGGCGGCGAACACGTGGCCAGGGAATGTCCACGCCCGCGGGAAGAACCCCCGACCTGCGCCAACTGTGGGGACGCGCATACGGCCAACAGCCCCGCCTGCCCCGTACTCCGCAGAGAATCCCGCAACAAAAAAGCGGGTACGGTGGCCAGAACCACGACAACAGGCGACGCGCCGAAAAGAGACCGGTCCGTTCCCACAGCCGCAAACCAGGGCAACCTAATGGCCCCGGCGAACCCGGCCACGGACAGGCACAAGCCGCCGCCAAACAACAATAACACCCACAGCAGCAAAAATAAAAACAAAAAGAGGAGGAGGGGCAAAAATAACAAGACCTCCAACACCGCCCCAGCGGCGGCTGCTACAACCCAGGCCCCAGTTCCGACGCACACGACCCGTCCGCCCGCGGTCGCCGCCCCACAGACCCACGCGCCCGCCACCGCACAACCTGCAACGGCGCCACAAACGCACAAGGGGAAGATGGCGAAGCAACAACTGCAACAGAGGACAAACACCTCCATCGACTTGAACACAATCATGACAACGATGGTCAACATACTGATGGAGGTGTTACTAGCGGTGCAAACCGGCGCAGATCCCCTGCCGGCAATCACCGCTGGTCTATTGAAGTTGTCCCAGGTGCCACGATGATCAAGATGGTACACTGGAACGCGGACGGGGTCCGCAGTAAACTGACACTGCTAAAGGCGATGCTCGTGGAGTACAATGTCGATGTGTGTCTACTGTCAGAGACACACCTAGGGGCCAACGACTCACTCCACGTCCCTGGTTACTATGCATACAGACAAGACGAGACCTCGGACGGCCATAGGGTATATCGCGGGTTGGCCGTACTTGTCAAAAGAAGAATCGTCCACCAGCAACTCCCCCCAGTGCAACTAACATCACTCTACGCATTGGGGGTCGAGATATGTGTAAATGGAAGCCCCACCCGTGTGTTCGCAATATACCACCCGCCGAACACGAGGATCGCAGCGGCCGACATAGAAAAGATCTTCGACTCGCCGCTGCCCACCATCGCCGCGGGCGACTGGAACAGCAAACACACGGCGTGGAACTCGAACAACGATTCAGTACACGGGAGAGTTCTACTAGGGATAATCGAGAGAATGGATATCACCGCTCAAGGGCCAGAGGTTCCAACTCACTATCCCTATGATCCTACGAAGACGCCCGACGTCCTTGATATAGTACTGTTCAGGGGCGTAGACGGCCAACTGACGCAGGAAGTCCTCTTGGAGGACATCCAATCCGACCACCTACCAGTATGCATAGTACTCCAGAACGAGCCATCGCACCAGACGCCGCAGGCCCCGCGCCGCCGGACCGATTGGGTAAAGTTCAGGGACTCGATGCAACGCAACACGCCAACGATGGCAGTTTCAACCTCGTCAGACGTCGAACGACTCGCAGAAGACCTGTCGGTCTCTATGCAAAACGCCATGAGCGAAGCGGCCAAACCGGGATCGGTGTGCAAATCCTTCTTCCCGATCCCGGCCTCCACACTGAAGATGCTGGCCGAAAAACGTAGGCTGCGTAGGGACTGGCAGACTACACGATGCCCTGCCCTAAAGACGAGGTTGAACCGACTTGCATCCAAGATAAAGACCGAGCTAGAGTCCCATAGAAGAGAAAGTTGGGATCGCATGATGGAAGAGGCCGGCGACGACTGGACGAGCATTCACCGCCTCTGTCGCCGGCTCACCAAATCCCAACCACCCATCCGTCCATTATTGGCGAGCGACGGGAAGCCGCGATACCGCGCAGCAGACCGCGCGGAGATACACGCGGAACACCTCGAACGCCAATTTCAGCCTAACCCGACTGAAGACGCCGAACACGCTGCAGCCATCGACAAATTTGTCGAAGACTACCTGGCATCCACACTCGAACCGCACGAAGACCCGGTAGTCTTTTCGCCGGGACAAGTGGAGCGTGAGATCAGAAAGACGAAGCCTCGGAAAGCCCCAGGCAGCGATGGTATCACCAATACGGCGCTGCGTCACCTGCCGCCGCGCACAATAGCGGCACTGACGCGCCTGTACAACGGTATCATGCGCACAGGGCATTTCCCAACCTCCTGGAAGATAGGCAAAGTCATCACGCTGCCTAAGCCCGGCAAGAACGTATTGAAGCCGGAATCCTATCGGCCAATCACGTTGCTGCAGCACACATCCAAAGTGTTCGAGAGGCTGGTGCTCAAGCACCTACAGCCACACCTGAAGCCTCGCCCGGAACAGTTCGGGTTCAGAGCTGAACACTCCACAACACTCCAGCTAGCCAGAGTACTGCATACAGTCACAACTGCATACAACAAGAAGGAGCAAGTCGTCGCAGTACTCTTGGACATGGAGAAGGCGTTCGACCGCGTATGGCACAACGGTCTGCTGCACAAGTTGGCCACACAGACGACAACGCCAAGAAGGCTCGTCAAAGTTGTGGCCTCCTTCCTAAGAAACCGGACATTCACAGTGACGGTGGAAAATTGCTGCTCGAACACGCGCCCCATCCGGGCAGGAGTGCCCCAGGGAAGCTGCCTATCGCCTGCGCTCTACGCGCAGTTCACCGACGATATCAGTACAACACCGGAAACGACTCTCGCGCTGTATGCTGACGACGCCGCCTACATAGCGACGTCCATATCGGCGAAGCATGCAGCGCAGAAGATGCAGAAGGTCCTAGACCAACTTCCACAATGGCTGGACAAGTGGAGACTGTCGGTGAACGTGCGCAAAACGCAGGCGATCCTCTTCGGACAGCGGCATCACCCATCCAAACTCAAAATCGGAGGCACCGAGATCGAGTGGGCCCCCACCGTCACATACCTGGGAGTCAAGATCGACCGTCGGCTTACCTTCCGCGCCCACGCGAAACAAGCTCGCGACAAGGCGCGAGTGGCAAGGCACTTGCTGCGTCCGGTGTTGAGCGGAAGCCTCCCTCTCACGAATAAGCTCACAATTTACAAAACATATATTAGACCACGTCTCACTTATGCAGCGCCGGTGTGGTATGCAAATCTAAGCAAAACCACGAAGGACACCATCAGAGCCCAACAGAACCTGACGTTGCGTACCATTACCGGTGCTCACAAATATATAAGGAACTCCACCCTTGAGAGGGACCTCAAGATGCCAACACTGGACAGCTTCATCGAGGACCTGGCCACCAGAATGTTCGAGCGAGCCGACGCGTCGACCTGGGACCATCTAA